CTAAATAAAATAGTGACATACGTAACGATATAGACACACACTAAATAAAATAGTGACATACGTAACGATATAGACACACACATACGTAACGATATAGACACACACTAAATAAAATAGTGACATACGTAACGATATAGACACACACTAAATAAAATAGTGACATACGTAACGATATAGACACACACTAAATAAAATAGTGACATACGTAACGATATAGACACACACTAAATAAAAAAGTGAAAAAGGTAACGAAAAAGACTAAATAAAATAGTGACATACGTAACGATATAGACACACACTAATATAAATATAAATAGTGACATACGTAACGATATAGACACACACTAAATAAAATAGTGACATACGTAACGATATAGACACACACTAAATAAAATAGTGACATAGGTAACGATACAGACTAAATAAAATAGTGACATACGTAACGATATAGACACACACTAAATAAAATAGTGACATACGTAACGATATAGACACACACTAAATAAAATAGTGACATACGTAACGATATAGACACACACTAAATAAAATAGTGACATAGGTAACGATATAGACACACACTAAATAAAACAGTGACATACGTAACGATATAGACACACACTAAATAAAACAGTGACATACGTAACGATACAGACACACACTAAATAAAATAGTGACATACGTACCGATACAGACACAGACTAAATAAAATAGTGACACACGTAACGATACAGATACAGACTAAATAAAACAGTGACATATTTAACGATATAGACTGAATAAAACAGTGACATATTTAACGATATAGACTGAATAAAACAGTGACATATTTAACGATATAGACTGAATAAAACAGTGACATATTTAACGATATAGACTGAATAAAACAGTGACATATTTAACGATATAGACTGAATAAAACAGTGACATATTTAACGATATAGACACAGACTAAATAAAACAGTGACATACGTAATGATAAATACACAGACTAAATAAAACAGTGACATACGTAACGATACAGACTAAATAAAACAGTGACAGACGTTACGACACAGACACAGACTAAATAAAATAGTGACACACGTAACGATACTAGTTAAATGACTGAAAAATACTGACGAAGGTTATCTTACCGGCGTTGTTTTTATTGACCATCGGAAGGCTTTCGATACAGTTAACCATGATGTTCTTTCACATAAGCTCAAAGCATATGGTGTATCAACTTCAGCCTTAAGTTTTTACAAATTTTATCTGACCGGGAGAACACAAGTAGTTAGTTTCTCTGGTGTACTGTCAGATGTTCTCCCCATTGACATTGGTGTGCCCCAGGGCTCTATTTTAGGGCCACTGCTATTTATTTTGAACATAAATGATTACGCAAAGTGCTTGAAACACTCTGAAGCTATGATGTACGCAGACGACACATCGCAGAGTGTATAACAGTAGAGATTTTAGAAGAAAAAATGTCTGAAGATCTCTTAAATACAGTTAAATGGATGAAAGAAAATAAATTAAGTCTCAATTTAACTAAAACCCAATGTATGATGATGGGGTCCTCTCAAAAGCTTGCACGATGTCGGCAGCTCAGTTTAAAAGTAGGGGATCTTACCATTGAAACTGTTCATGTGCAAAACTACTGGGTGTTTATATTGATTGTTGTCTCTCTTGGAAAGAGCATACCGAATATATCGCTAGAGAAATTTCCCCAAAACTTGGTGTGTTAAGGAGGTTAAGGTCATTTATGTCAAATGATATTATCATGAAAGTATAGAGCAGAATTGTTTTCACACATTATATATACTGTTCAACTGTCTGGAGTGAACCTAGCAACAAACTTTATATTGATAAGATTTTTAAATTACAGAAAAGAGCAGCCAGGATTTTGTTAAATGTTAAAGATATTCTTACTCCATCCAAGACTCTTTTTGAAAAATCAAAAATGGATGCCTTTAGAAGATTTTTACGTTTTTAGGAAAATGATTCTTTCTTACAAAATTCTTCATTGCGAGTCCCCAGGGTCTTTAACAAATATGTTTTCTTATGTACAAGCCTATTTAAATAAAAATAATAAAAAAAACTTTTAGTATATATGAGTAGCATCTGTGATTATCTCTTTGATATTGATGTTTGAATAAAATAAAATTAATCTTAGTTTTCCAAATTTTGTTTATGATCAGTTAAGTCAAATGTAATTTGATCATTTTCTATGATAAAATCATTTTACCCCACCAACTTCAATGTTTGTTTTTAATACACACTATATTAGTGTATATGTAACGGGAAGAGCGGTTTTGCATTTGTAATAGTGTCAAAAATGACAAAACTGCTGACCTTTCATTTTTTGTCATCACAAAAAGTACCCTAAAAATAAAAGTCATACATTAAACTCTCATACTTATCCAAGGGACATAACTCTCTCTCACACTAAGGACAATATACATGTCCACCAATTACAGAGCAAGTATTTAATATAATTATATACTTTACAAATCTAATTACATTAATGATAATCATCTAAATATTGAACTTATAATTATCTTTACAGTGTTATGGTATATCAAGCTCCTTAATTACATTATTTTAAGAAAATATATATTCAGTACATTGTATAGGTATAACATAACTCACCCTACATATGATGCAGAGGTATGTGGAGTACAGTTTTGAACTGCACTTTCATTCCTATTTATCTGTTCTACAAATCAATAATAACCACAATTAGATCTTTACTCTCTACACACTGCATACAACCAATAGTACATAAAAAGGACATAAAATAAGAGTCTATAGCGGCAACTTGTAGATAGAGCTACATGTACATTTATATATACAGATATTAATTAACCCCTACATTATCCTACTTTTATAGATAATAGTTACTTGAAATACATAATATTATACAATATTGGAAAAAGAATAGTTACTTACCAATAATACTGGTGTAGAATCAATACCCAGTTATTCAATCTCTCTGAGATACTAATAACCAGCCGTTCCCTCCAAAACCCAAACCTGTACTGCCCGACAAATCTAAACTTCCCAGTAAAAATCATACTTAACCTTTCTTGTGTTCTACCCAATCAAAATTATCTTCCCCGGGTCAGTGGACAGGTCAGTCACAGGTCAATCTGTACCATTACCATATATGGAAATGTCTTACCTGAACACTTTTCACTATATACCTAACCAAACCATTAAGGATACATGCCTCTTGATTTTCTAAAATACTATATTTACTACCTACATTGCTCAATATATGAATTAATTAAATTATAATAATATCTGAATCATATCAGATATTACAATACATATAGCAATAGAAAAAGATACATTATCTGACCCATGTCAGCAAATACAATGGTATAAAACATAACTGTAACAAACATTCAATAAAAGCAATAATTAACATAATCCACTCCCTGTCACACTCTCCCCCCTGTTGAAAAAAATGACCTCCGTGTCATTTCCCGCTGACTACGGCTAATACTGCTATCCTGGCACACGTCGGCATGGTTTCCAACTCACCAGAATGAGCAAGGTCCGCAATGAACTGGGCACGAAGTAGCCAGTCCGGACTTTGAACACATTCCTGGGGTTTACAACATATTTAAAACAAAATCACCTGATATCTGCCACTTTGGTTTTTCCCTCTTCCGCACTGACCTTCTAGGCACAGGAACTGGTTTGTCTACGTGTGCTGTCTGATCCAAAATGTCAGCATCGTTTATGGACACTTTCACCTCATCACCATCAGATGATGTAATAGGATCATGCCGAGAAGTAGGAATATGTTCGTCATCCATGGACGATTGGTCGTCACCAATATCCCTTTCTCCTCCTGTCTCCGTAACCTCAACTGGACCGTCATCTGTGAGTTCGGAGACAACAATGGTTTCTGCAGCAGCAGTATCTACTGTGGTGCTGGATGGGGCACTCACAACTGCTACCGGAGAAGTCGGAACAAAATATGAATCTTCAGAATCACTCTCACTACTACAAGATTCATCCTCTAATGAAGTAACACACAACTCACCAGTCCTGGTCTGTTCCTCTTCATTGTTTGGTTGGTCAGTGACTACTGGTACACTAGAGATAGGAAGTAACAGATTTCTATGAAGAGTTCGGATCCTTCCCTCGCCAGTTTCCTTTTTCACTTTAAAAACAAGTATATCCTTATTCGGCTGATCAAGAACAATGTATGCATCCTCCTCCCACTTGTCAGATAACTTGTGGCGACCGTCATGTACCAAAATCATCACTAGTACCCGGTCACCTGTCTGGATAGAAGAGCCTCCTACACGAGTATCGTAGTTTCTCTTTTGTCGCTATTTGGCACGACTTGATGCTTTGGCTGCACACTCATAGGAAGACTTCAACCTTCTTCTTAGTGACTCTACATACTGTGAATAGCTGCCATCCCTTCCTTCGTGGAATTTACTTATTCCAAACACTAGATCACTTGGTAAACTTGGATGTCTCCCATACATGAGATAAAACGGTGTATGTCCTGTACTTTCATGACGAGTGCAATTATATGCATGCACCAGAGGTCCAATGTGTTTCTTCCAATCATGTTTCTCACTTGGTTCCAAAGTTCCTAACATATCCAGTAATGTACGATTAAACCGCTCACATAACCCATTTCCCATGGGATGGTATGGTGTTGTTCGTGATTTCTTTATTCCCGCTGTCAAACATAACTCCTGGATAACCTTTCCAACAAAGTTGACTCCCTGATCTGAATGGAGTCTCAATAGAAACCCATAGTGCACAAAGAAATTGTTAAATAACACCTCTGCTGTTGTCTTGACGGACATGTTGCGTGTTGGATAAGCTTGCGCATATCTGGTAAAGTGATCTGTCAGCACCAGTACATGCCGGAATCCTCCCTTAGATGCTTCCAGCGTCAAAAAGTCAACACAGATGACTTCCAATGGCTGTGTTGAAACTATGGGTACCAAAGGTGCTCTCTGCGTAGAACATGGTGTTTTCCTTCTGATTCAACGAGGACACTTCTGTAACCATTTATCCACGTCTTTTGTCATCCCAGGCCAGAAGAATCTGTCCTGAATCAAAGAGAGTGTCCTGTCTCTTCCAGGATGTCCAACACAATCATGGAAGTAATGGAGAACTTTGTTAACTAACACTGAAGGAAGCACACGTTGTCGAACACATTCCCCATTTCTCTTTGAATCACGGCAAAGCACACCTTGGTCCAAAACAAGACTGTCAAAGTATCTCAGTAACTTGGACTGTTCCAAAGAGAGATTCCGTCTATGTGGCTTCCTAGCATCTCTGATAGCTGTGATCATTGGCCTCAAAACTCTATCTTGCGCTTGCATGCTCCCCCACTGTCGTTGTGTCATATTTTCCATAACACCATTATCCAGATCATCTAAATCAATCAAGGAATCAGAGGTGACCACTTCAGCTCTAGCACGAGTCTGTATGCTGGAACAAACAGCCTTTATAGTACTCTGCTCCATTACTCCTTCTGGATCATCATCACTATTACTGTACTCAAGTCTTGACAGCATTATTATTATTATTATCTTAAACTAGTAATTCTATCCATGTTTGAACTATTTCCAATAGAAAATACAAAAATAATGTTCAAAAATATTATTTTCCTATATAAACTATAAACTTTACCCCTTTCCTGGGGAAAATGCGAGACCCTCGGGTCATGAAATTTACAATTGTGGTCAATCATCTGAAGGCCTTTCCATCCATGAAGAATGCTTGATTCTATCATACCTGAGATTTGAGAGGACAATGTTTGAAATTTCAATCAATTTTACCCTTTTAGCCCCATCCCTCAGGCCCCTGGGGGTTGGGGCCTTTACAATGTACAATTTTGGTGCGCCTTAAGTCATTGTGGATTTCTGTAGAATTTCGTTGAAATCAGTTCAGGAGATTTTAAGAAGAAGTCGAAAATGTTTAAAGTTTATGACACACGAAGCATGACGCCAGACAAAATGGGATCACAATAGGTCACCCTGAGAATTTGTCTTAAGTAACCTGAAAAAAACAGAGTAGCCTTGACTTTTCTGATGAGTGAAGGTGGTATCAGCGTGTTCACCCAAGATACCCTCGGACCAGGTTTTTTTTCCTTATGGACCATTGAATATAAGTCCTTGTTCCTCCCTCATTTTTTTATAATAAAAGCCGAACCTAAAATGTGTATATATGGTAGTTGATTCAGTATTTGAGAGCTTGTTGCGCTATTTCCATGACAGATGTTGTCACGTGACAGATAAACTGAGGGTTTTGAGAGATGCAGGTCGAGAAAAATTAAGAAGGTCTGTGGTCGCAGAGTGATCTCACTGGAAAACATTTTCTTGAGCTATATAAAGTTAGATTATCACAAAGGTGTGATTCTTATCGTAGTTGCTTACATTATTATATTTGAGAACGGCACAGATGCTGTCGAGGAATCAGAAAACATTTGCTCTTCGGGACTACCTGATCGCATTTTCTTTTTAATTTCCAGAAATGACTCTTTTGTTCATATTTTACCCTCTTCATCGATTTTCAGTTTGGATTTTCTTGTTTTGCCTCGTACTTTGTGAGTCCTATGATCAGTACGACAAAGGAGACATTTACCTTCTGCACAGACTTACCCTCTGCACCGAGTTACCTTCTGCACTGAGTTATCCTCTGCACTGAGTTACCTTCTGCACTGAGTTACTCTGCACTGAGTTATCCTCTGCATTGAGTAACCTTCTGCACTGAGTTACCCTCTGCACTGAGTTACCTTCTGCACTGAGTTACCCTCTGCACTGAGTTACCTTCTGCACTGAGTTACCTTCTGCACTTAGTTACCCTCTGCACTGAGTTACCTTCTGCACTGAGCCATGTAGTGAATGCAATATATGTCAAACAAAATCTTTCAGATGGATCATTTATAAAACTGCTAAACTTTATCATACAGCTGTTTCGTCGTCTAGGACTCGTCAGTGATGCTTCATCATACAGCTGTTTCGTCGTTAGGGCTCGTCAGTGATGCTACATCATACAGCTGTTCCGTCCTTCTAGAACTCGTCAGTGATGCTACATCATACGGTTGTTTCGTCGTCTAGGACTCATCAATGATGCTACATCATACACCTGTTTCGTCGTTAGGACTCGTCAGTGATGCTGTATCATACAGCTGTTTCGTCATTCTAAGACTCGTAAGTAAAGCTAGGGATCTAAATTGATAAAAATTGCCTGGAATCCCCATAATGGTTTTTAGGCTAAACGTACTCAGTACGCATAGCCTATTGCGACGGCCTTTCAGACAAAATTTACCGATCCTGGCCTTCTCATTGGCTGAAATATCGAAAAGAGTTAGAGCCCTCTAGCGGCAATTTTCTGCGTAAATAATGCCGCGATTTTTCAAATCGCTATTTTAAAAGCATCCAAAATTAGTCTATTTTTTTATAACAATACGATTACTATATTTTTTATTGTTACATGAATTAATGAACTGTGTACTACTATTTCAAGTTAGCCTGCGTGTACATATACAGAGATCATGGTGATATGCTATGTTAGTGACAAAGTCAACTGGCCCGGTGGCTTTTGTTGCTGTTTAACTGGGTTTGTCGCCCCATGAACAGCCAGTCATTTTGAGGTGGGTCAACTTGTAGCAACTGGTTGCTACCTTAAGGTAACTTGCAGAAAGCACTTTACATGCCGTCCAGAATTAGGCTTGAATGTCTTTCAAAACGACACAACCACTTCAGCACAGTCTGGCCCATTTTTTCGTTTCTTGAGATACATGAACCACCGTGGATAGGAGTGTGGAGCTACATACTTTGGATCTACACCTAAAGATAATAGGCCAAAGCGCAAGTATACTGAACTATAATGGTGATTCAAAAGTTCAAAGTTAAACAAGAGCATGAATGAGAGGTTAAATCAACAAATACATGTATATAAATCTGACCTGTCTTGACAGATGGACTGTGGTGAAATTTACCCATAATTAATGAAGAACCCTTTAAAGGCAATATGTTAGTCGGTACCACAAGAACTCTTAATCTCCTTCAACAGTGGCTGCTTGGATTATACCTTAACAGTGGCTGCTGGGATTAAGGTAACTTTACACTGGCTGGTGGGATTAAGGTAACTTTACACTGGCTGGTGGGATTAAGGTAACATTACTCCGGCTACTGGGATTAAGGTAACTTTACATTGGCTGCTGGGATTAAGGTAATTTTACACTGGCTGCTGGGATTAATGTAACTACTCTGGCAGTTGGGATTAAGGTAACCTTACAACTAATCATTCCTGAACAAGTGGCCAGGAGTAAAGATAACATACCAGATCATTTTGATAAAAAATCCTAGAAATGCAATGTTGGTTAGTACATCTGGTGTGTTAGTGCTTTGAATTGTCTCGTGTTGACTGTTCTGTCTCTTATTATGTCAAGTGTTAATATGTAAATACAAAGCTTTGATATTTTAAGATGATTTATTGTGAATTTCTCCCTTGAGAAAACTTTCTTTGTTACCTACATTATCATTACTGAGCACCATTTTCTCTGGAATGTTGACAACTTTATGTGAATGAACACGTATGCTAATTATTCCAAAGGGAGTTAACTCCAATGGACCCACATTTTTGGAATCAACATAAAATCCTTGATCTCAGTCATGTGTCCATGGACTCTACCTCTTACAATATTTGTTAAATGTTCATCATGAATATTTCAATTCATAATTCAACTTTAACACACTTTTTGCTTGACATGTTAACTATGATCATGCCAGAAAACGTTGGAAAGACAGAAGATATGTTTTTGTCTTCTACAAATACATAAGGTAGCTAGTTTCTACACGCTGATGACACAGTCTGACTAAGAATCCTACGCACATTTTGATTGGTCTAAAAAAGAACCAATCACAGAGACTGTCACTGATGCTGAGTCTGTTGTTGTAACTGTTGGGCACCATCTGGTCCAGCTGTTGTTGGTGTCCTGTAAAAGATTGAATTCAATAATTATGTCCTGCTGTACACAACAAGAGACCAAGAGGGCCTGTATCATTCAAATGGATATTTTAGTCAATATTGCAAAACTTTACATTCTTTAGAAGGAAAACAAGCCAACCACCAGATACAGCTTCAAATTCCCTAGGGGTGGGGACAGAGATCAGTTGTTGATCTCTTGATGTCCAGCAATGCTATTAGGTTATGGGATGATAATCAAATCTTCAAAGATATAATCTTTAATAGAGTGGAACCAGGTCCCAGGACAAATTATCAGTTATGATCATATTCATCTCCTGATGCTCAGCAATGCTATTGTTATTCAGTGGGGATCACAACTGTTTCAAATTAAAGATCAAAATGAATTGTTGACAGTGCACAGTAGACAATATCCTGCAATTCATGAAAAAGTAGATAGATTTTAAAGAAATTCACAGATTTTCCCTACTGAGCCTGACCTCTCTGGCCCCAGGGGCCAAGACCCACCATTTACACAAAACTGATTTTTCTATGCATGCTTCAGACCAAATTTGGACGATATCCTATATTTGGGCCTTACGCCTCTGGCACCACGGGCCAGGCGAGCTAAATAAACCTTCTTACAGATTTGTTTTGGCTGAAATTTAGAGTGGTGATGTCAAGGACATAGTGATGAATAAAAGGAACCACATAATACCAGGAAAGATTAAATTTTCATCCAAATAGAGCTTAATACATTATGCATGTACCAAAAGCTGTCAACTTTGAAAACAATTTCTCTAGTAATAATTAATTCTGTTTTCATGATATCATAGCTTAGAAAAGACAAAATTACCTATTTACAAGATAACAGTACATCTTCTCAGTAAAAAAACTTACGTTGTAGGACTCGTCTTCGGTTTAGGCATCTTCTCTAGTATTCCAGCAATATCCTTTTTCTCATCGTAATTTTTCCATAAATCATATAAAGCAAGAATCTGCCTTGAAATTTCCAAGATCTGAAGAAAATCAAGAACCTATATTTAATAAACTGAAATAAAATACATATACTTGTCAGCTAATGATAATATTCGCAACCAATCACAATATTTTCACAACAGTAAAAAAAAATCCTTGCTTTCAGCATCAGCTTGTGTCAAACATATTAAGAGATTGTGTTTAACATATTAAGAGATTGTGTTTAACATATTAAGAGATTGTGTTTAACATATTAAGAGATTGTGTTTAACATATTAAGAGATTGTGTTTAACATATTAAGAGATTGTGTCTTGCATATCATCAATGTTTGATTATAACATATGATCAGTTTGTGTCCAACACATAATCAGTTTGTGTCTAACACATGATCAGTCTGTCTAACACATCATCAGTCTGTCTAACACATCATCAGTTTGTCTAACACATCATCAGTCTGTCTAACACATCATCAGCTTGTGTTTAACACATCATCAGTCTGCCTAACACATCATCAGTCTGCCTAACACATCATCAGTCTGTCTAACACATCATCAGTCTGTGTCTAACACATCATCAGTCTGTGTCTAACACATCATCAGTCTGTCTAACACATCATCAGTTTGTGTTTAATACATCATCAGTCTGTCTTACACATCATCAGTTTGTGTTTAATACATCATCAATTTGTGTCTAACAAATCATCAGTTTCTGTCTAACACATCACCAGTCTGTCTTACACATCATCAGTTTGTATTTAACACATCATCAGTTTGTCTAACACATCATCAGTTTGTGTCTAACACATCTTCAGTTTGTGTCTAACACATCATCAGTCTGTCTAACACATCATCAGTTTGTGTTTAATACATCATCAGTTTGTGTCTAACACATCATCAGTTTGTGTCTGACACATCTTCAGTTTGTGTCTAACACATCATCAGTTTGTGTCTGACACATCATCAGTTTGTCTAACACATCATCAGTTTGTGTCTAACACATTATCAGTTTGTGTTTCATAAATCATCCTTTTTGTGTCTAACTTTTGAACAGTTAATGCTTCATCAGTTTATGCCTACCTTGTCCATATCAACATTACATTCAGCGAGCCATTGTTTGAGGTCCACTTTCTGTATCACGCAGGCGATATGCAAACATGCTGTAAAACCAACCATAATGTTTGTTATAAATGTAAGCCTCTAGATATATCTCATCTAATAATTATTGTAATACACTGACATATTAGTGAAAGATTTATAAACACCAGTCTAAAACTGCAGTAAATCAGTTTAGCATTCACAATTTTATATGAGGATGTTGATGATCCACTTATGTTGTTAATGAGCAACATAATATGACATAACTATAAAGTCACAATTGGGTGGTACTTACCAAGAGCAACAAGGTATGGGGCGTAATTCAGGCATACGTCAGTTCTCAAGCTGTCATTTACAATTCGCCTGTAAAGGATTGTTATAGTTATAATTATTATCTAATTTCATTAGATCATATTTAACATGTAAATAGGAATAATACACAAAAGTAATTTTATAAATTTTATAATTTTAATATAAAATTTTATAAAGAAAATTAGTTTGAAATACGAATGTATAGTAAGAAATGTGTAAGTACACTGTTCCTAGGTTGTGATAAGGAAGGCGATCAGATGTTGGTTTACACATGGTCAGCAGTCTATATAAATACTAGTCAGTATAGATAGGGCCATGTGAATTAGGTGGTGGGAGTGGCAGTGCTCACCTACGTGTTTTTGCCTTATGTAACACTTGTTTGTTCAATCAGATCTAATATCTAGCTAAATATGGTCTTCCCGTCTGATCTCTATCTGTTATTAAGTATAAAAGAAAGTCCTACCATGGGTAGAGTTGTCTCCCTTTATACATACCCCTGTATGTATACACTTATCAAACTACACTGGTACAAGATAACTGGACTTTATTACTACAAATCTACATAGAAGTATCACCCTTCCTTTATTGGTGTTTGGATCAAGGAGTCTTTGACTAATTGTTTATTAGGGTGAGATCCAGATATCATCAATGAATCCATCGCAATCATACCTGCTCACTAGATTTTTGTTGGTGAAAGCACTGTGCCACACAAGTTTTAGAATTTCCATGGGGTAAAAAACTTCAAATTAACATGGTTATCAGGTATTTAGATATAACTAAATAACTTATCAAGTCAGTGGGTATTAATATTATAACTAAATAACTTATCAAGTCAGTGGGTATTTACATTATAACTAAATAACTTATCAAGTCAGTGGGTATTTACATTATAACTAAATAACTTATCAAGTCAGTGGGTATTTACATTATAACTAAATAACTTATCAAGTCAGTGGGTATTTACATTATAACTAAATAACTTATCAAGTCAGTGGGTATTTACATTATAACTAAATAACTTATCAAGTCAGTGGGTATTTACATTATAACTAAATAACTTATCAAGTCAGTGGGTATTTACATTATAACTAAATAACTTATCAAGTCAGTGGGTATAAGATATTTACATTATAACTAAATAACTTACCAAGCCAGTGGGTATAATGTATCTTCATGACCAATGTCGGAGAAATATTCTGTCAGAGGTCGGTAGGGATGATATAACACTAAACAGCAGTCCTTCAACGTAAAAAAAATAATTGATAAAACATTTCTTTGAAACCTGTACAAAAGAAGAGTGGATTACAATTTCTCAAGATCTGTACCAGTTGTAGTTATCTTCCTAATTTAAGTCTGAAATGGTTCTGTTAGAGTTGGTAAATTGAAAACTGAAAAGTATTTACCAAAGTATTTAGCAATGGTTTTTCCACCACAGTCCAGCAAAAATAATAAACTCTATGAGAGTACTAAGAAAATTCTATGAGGGTACTAAGAAAATTCTCTGAGTGTACAAAGAAACTCTATATGAGGGTACAAAGAAAATTCTATGAGGGTACAAAGATAACTCTATGAGGGTACTTAGATAACTCTGTGAGGGTAATAATAAAACTCTATGAGGGTACTAAGAAAATTCTATGAGGGTACTAAGAAAACTCTATGAGGGTACTAAGAAAAGTCTTTGAGGGTACTCAGAAAATTCTATGAGGGTACTAAGAAAAGTCTTTGAGGGTACTAAGAAAATTCTTTGAGGGTACTCAGAAAACTCTATGAGGGTACTAAGAAAATTCTTTGAGGGTACTCAGAAAACTCTATGAGGGTACTAAGAAAATTCTATGAGGGTACTAAGAAAATTCTATGAGGGTACTAAGAAAATTCTATGAGGGTACTAAGAAAATTCTATAAGGGTACTAAGAAAATTCTATGAGAATACTAAGCAAAACTATATGAGGGTACTAAGATAACTCTTTGAGGGTACTCAGAAAACTCTATGAGGGTACTAAGAAAATTCTATGAGGATACTAAGAAAATTCTATGAGGTACTAAGAAAATTCTATGAGGGTACTGAGAAAACTCTATGAGGGTACTAAGAAAAGTCTTTGAGGGTACTGAGAAAACTATGAGGGTAGTAAGAAAACTCTATGAGGATACTAAGAAAACTCTATGATGGTACAAAGAAAACTCTATGAGGGTACTAAGAAAACTCTATGATGGTACAAAGAAAACTCTATGATGGTACAAAGAAAACTCTATGAGGGTACTAAAAAAATTCTAGGAGGGTACTGAGAAAACTATGAGTGTAGTAAGAAAATTCTATGAGGATACTAAGAAAATTCTATGAGTACTAAGAAAATTCTATGAGGGTACTAAGAAAATTCTATAAGGGTACTAAGAAAACTCTATGAGGGTACTAAGAAAATTCTATAAGGGTACTAAGAAAATTCTATGAGGGTACTAAGAAAACTCTATGAGGGTACTAAGAAAACTCTTTGAGGGTACTAAGATAACTCTGTGAGGTTACTAAGATAACTCTATGAGGGTACTAAGAAAATTCTATGAGGGTACTGAGAAAACTCTATGAGGGTACTAAGAAAACTCTTTGAGGGTACTAAGAAAACTCTATGAGGGTACTAAGATAACTCTGTGAGGGTAATAATAAAACTCTATGAGGGTACTAAGAAAACTCTATGAGGGTACTAAGATAACTCTGTGAGGGTAATAATAAAACTCTATGAGGGTACTAAGAAAACTCTATGAGGGTACTAAGATAACTCTGTGAGGGTAATAATAAAACTCTATGAGGGTACTAAGATAACTCTGCGAGGGTAAGTAAAACTGACAAGATCACGAAAATTTGTTGTGCATTATGTTCAAAGTTTAAAGAAAACAACGACTGTGATGAAGACAGTAGTGAGTCTGCAGACACTAGTGATATTTACCATCATTTCCAGGAGGAAGAACTCACATTCCAATACACTGTTAATTCTGTATGGGTACTCCTGGGGGTACGCATGGGAAAATTTGTTCTTCACTGAAAGTAATCATCTTTGTCAGATTAATGAAATATTCATATTAATCTTGCAACTAGATATGTAAAATGAGGAGTACAATGAAACGAGGATTTAGTGTTATGTGGTCAGTGTTATGTGGTCAGTGTAATGTCGTCAGTGTAATGTGGTCAGTGTAATGTGGTCAGTGTTATGTGGTCAGTGTAATGTGGTCAGTGTTATGTGGTCAGTACAATGTGGTCAGTGTTATGTGGTCAGTGTTATGTGGTCAGTATAATGTGGTCAGTGTTATGTGGTCAGTGTTATGTGGTCAGTATAATGTGGTCAGTGTTATGTGGTCAGTGTTATGTGGTCAGTGTTATGTGGTCAGTATAATGTGGTCAGTGTTATGTGGTCAGTATAATGTGGTCAGTGTTATGTGGTCAGTGTTATGTGGTCAGTATAATGTGAGGTGTCATGTTATTGTGTCCAAGATATAACATTATCAGATGATGTCATCCATCAAATACATGGTACTTACCCACTGTCTGACACGTAGTGATGAGCCTGCTATTCGAGATAACACCAAACTCCTGTAGAAGAAAAAAGTATTTTTAGTAACAGATAGTCTCATAATAATAAAAAAATACCCCTGATTTTTTGTTAAATTCCCCATAATTCAGGACGTATTTGTATCCTTTTACATAGAAATTTTTGCACAAAAAAAAATTTCCAACAAAAATCTTAAAGTATTCTAGCGACAATGGTAGCCATAGAACCCTGTGAATGTGTGTGTAGGTGGAAGTGAGTTTCGGATCTGTTGAGGTGTCTCGTAAAGAACAATGCCCATTAGTAGCATTTACTTTTTTTATTTAACTGAATACATCTGTGAAACAGAGGATTCTATTACACACAGTAACTTACTAATGGTGGCAAAAAAAAAAAAAAAAACTTACTGATGGCGGCCATTAGACAATGATCTATACATTGGCCTCATTCTACTTACTTCTACTTTTGAGGCAAGAAATATACAGGTGGGAGCCATAAGCCATGGATCAATACATTTTAGAGAATTCCTGAAAATAAAAAACTGACGTTTTAATGAAATGAATAAATGCAATACAATTTTCGTAAAAAACCATTCACACTAACGCTTTCACATTTGTCATTTTTGGAAGGGTCATGACATTTAATGTATCATTATATCTGATGGAATAACCTCATTTTTGGAAGGGTCATGACATTTAATGTATCATTATATCCGATGGAATAACCTCATTTTTGGAAGGGTCATTACATTTAATGTATCATTATATCTGATGGAATAACCTCATTTTTGGAAGGGTCATGACATTTAATGTATCATTATATCTGATGGAATAACCTCATTGGGAAACAGATTTTGCTCGTGTAATTATCTGGAGGAAATACACGAGTGATCCAACAAGGCATCAATTATTGTAAGATCTGCATTAATTCTGCACATTTTTGACTTTTTCTTTTCTTTTGAGTACATTTCATTCCATAATCACTTTTGCTATATCAACAATAAATCTGAACATTTCCCTTCAAATTTAAAAACACCAATATTTGGAAATCTCCTCGGCATTCTCAAAATAGCCCAATGGCCATACTGTCTTATAATTATTCTTAAACTAACAGTTGTAACTTAGTCCACTCACAGTTATAAATTTGTCCCCTAATATGTCATGAAAAACAGAAAGACTTGTTGTTATCTGAAATTTGGTTTTGTTTTTCTCAACTATTGTCCATTTTACCACTAATGCTATCAGAATTTTTAGGGTAGAGAAACAACCATTATGAACATATTTTGGTAAGCAGCAGAATATCATTTCTAAACTGAAAGATTAAATATATCCCAGGCATAAATTTCAAAATTATGTCTACTTAATGCTATTTTCCAATCTCCTTTTTCAAACAATGGATACCAATGAATAAATACAAATTTAAACACCAAAATAATTTCCTTTCTCAAACCTGTTTAGTTTATAAGGAGAAAACATCATTGTTCAACAGACCTGGAGTAAAACCGTTTGAAGTAAACTGTTGCTGTGGCAATGACTTGTTGACGAAGCTTGAGCTGTTCTCCAAGAGACTGAATAACTAAAATAAAAATATTAATGTTTAAATTTGTGCAATTGAAAAATGATAAATCTACTTAAAGAAAAAAACAAATTGAAATACATTACATATATATCATGAATGAAACAGTATACTGTATCATGGCAATATTTTGCTATAACTGCAGTCTTTGAAAGAGAGTACAAATGTACACACCAAGTTTACAAAGAAAGTCTCAGAAAACGTATGTTTTATGCTTGTGTATATGAACATACATGTGCCAAATTAAATTCTTGTGAACTACCCAAATCATGACAACTGCAAAAATATTAGCCTCACTATGCAGCTTGGTTATAGTGTAGCTTGGTATCCTGTAGGTATAACTAGAGACTTTGGTTACACTCTATTTAGTAATACTGGCTTTGACAGTAAGGTGGACCAGCTGTGTTGATACAGATTGGTCCATCGCTCAGTAAACAGTGTACTAAGAGTAACTTAATGCATAATAGAAATTTGATTGATGCTGGAGAATTTTATCTGAAACCATTACTATCAATGTTTACATACAGTTTGCAAAAAATATGAGAATCTTTTGGTATTCTTCTTCGCTAAGAACTTTGAGATCCTGTTGTCGCTCACGGAGAAGATCCTGTTTGTCCAACAGCCACTGCTGACTGTAACATAACAATAAAACAATATTACCAACAGCCACTGCTGACTGTAACAGTATGATAAAAACAATATTACCAACAGCCACTGCTGACTGTAACAGTATGATAAAAACAATATTACCAACAGCCACTGCTGACTGTAACAGTATGATAAAAACAATATTACCAACAGCCACTGCTGACTGTAACAGTATGATAAAACAATATTACCAACAGCCACTGCTGACTGTAACCGTATGATAAAACAATATTACCAACAGCCACTGCTGACTGTAACAGTATGATAAAACAATATTACCAACAGCCACTGCTGACTGTAACCGTATGATAAAACAATATTACCAACAGCCACTGCTGACTGTAACCGTATGATCAAACAATATTACCAACAGCCACTGCTGACTGTAACAGTATGATAAAACAATATTACCAACAGCCAGTGCTGACTGTAACAGTATGATAAAACAATATTACCAACAGCCAGTGCTGACTGTAACAGTATGATAAAACAATATTACCAACAGCCACTGCTGACTGTAACCGTATGATAAAACAATATTACCAACAGCCACTGCTGACTGTAACAGTATGATGAAACAATATTACCAACAGCCACTGCTGACTGTAACAGTATGATGAAACAATATTACCAACAGCCACTGCTGACTGTAACAGTATGATAAAACAATATTACCAACAGCCAGTGCTGACTGTAACAGTATGATAAAACAATATTACCAACAGCCACTGCTGACTGTAACCGTATGATAAAACAATATTACCAACAGCCACTGCTGACTGTAACAGTATGATGAAACAATATTACCAACAGCCACTGCTGACTGTAACAGTATGATGAAACAATATTACCAACAGCCACTGCTGACTGTAACAGTATGATAAAACAATATTACCAACAGCCACTGCTGACTGTAACATAACAATAAAACAATATTCTCTTGCCTAGGCATGAAATACATGTGCAATCCAAATTTCTTTACACTTACTTTAATCTTTAAAAAGTAGGATAAAAGAAAAATCTAAACATTGAAAATGATATCTCACTTCAAGTTTTTTTTATTTTCCTTCAGGTCATTGAAAAAAATACAGCCATCAAAGTTGTGGGTGCCAGCAATACTTATTTCCCACAGTGGTCGGACTAAAGATTTTTCATCCTTTGAGACCACTCACTTTTGTATCAATGTGTGTAATGACTATGAAGAGAATAATATAAAATCATGTGTTACAGAAATGTCACATTATTCTTTGTATTTCACTTCAACAAATGTAGAATTACAAGTATTGTGTATCATGAAATGTAATGTTATTGTATGTATTTCAGGATTGTATAATTATCATATCAATTCCATGATTTAAGAAATGATTTAAAAATTTGATTTAAATTCATCTATAGTACAGTCTCTCAGGTAACAGATAACACAGACAAAAACACAGGTAAATGAACTCAGCGAGATATATGATTAGTATGAAACTTGACTAAAATTGGTTTCCCATTATCTTTATCACACAATATCTTTCTTTGTCTTAAAAAATGTGGGGCAAATCGGGAGCCTCCCATGGGTACAACTGTGAATAGGCCAGAGTTCTAACTTCATGGCTCAGTGAGCAGCTTACATCAGATAATTATCAATCACTGGGCCCTGTTTCTTATCCCTTCTATTATAGATACCTGTGTATATTGAGAAGTCATCACCATAATTCATGAATTCATGCACTTCATCGATAGCTTTAACCTTAATATTTTACATGTTAACAGGTACTAACCTCGTCTGTCAATACATGACTGGATGGTTGTATTGATGATACATGCACATGGATTTATAAGCCTATCACTTGATGTATTAAGACTAAACACAAAACAGACATTCTATATGTAGAATACAGTTAATATACTGAAGCGGAACTATACAGGGTCGATTGTCCGTGACCAGTTAGCTCAGTAGGTAGAGCATCAGTCTAGAGTTTGGAAAGTCTCGGGTTAGAACCTGGTATTGTAACAGAGGTCATTTTGCCATCTCAGTGCCTCCGCTAGGAATAGAACCCGGGACCCCTGGCTTACTAGTCTGACGCTCAACCAATTGAGCTAAAGAGAAGTTCTCTCTAGCCGAGTGGTATGTTGCGGCTAGTATTTTACCAGGGTTACATACTCCCCCTCCAGGAAATAACTCGTCCTCGAGTTTCCAGGGGTCAGAGCCATGCTGGTTGGGCATGGCTAAGTACTAATCCTGGGTCCCTACATGGGCGCCAATATAACATAGTTGGTATAAACAACAGCAGACCGTCTGATGCCCATTCATTTATTGAGATGCTTAATTCTATACTTAATCCTTGGCATGTGGTGCCTAGGACATTCCAGCCATAAATAAAAAATACTGAGTATATAGATATGGAGGGAATGTCTTTCCCTGCCGGTAATCAAAGCCTTTATGGTCAATTTGGCGGTAATCGAAAAAGAAAAAAGAATAGAAAAAGACCCTGCACGCATGTCCAGTACTGTCCGTCACCTGTCAAACCTGTTTTACTTACATACGTCACAAAAGCTCACTCTCCGGACATTCACGACCTACACATACAGTATACATAATAGGACATAACTTTCACAATACAAAGCACAATATGGGATACACCCCACATAGAAGTTACACAACGAGTACACCATGCATGCAATGTAACACACACCACAACATGGGATACTCCCGACGTAAATATGGCGCAATGTACAGTAAAAATACATAACGTATTAAAATAATTCAAATGGGTGCCACATAATGGCAGTGCATCTTTCCGCTCCTGTTACATTTGTTGCTGAAACTAAACCTTGTTTCAAGCAGTAGGTGAATGCTTAACATGGGGATACCCGAACCTGGGTTGTTAGATGTGATGTCTTTGGGAGCAAAGACTGAAAATAAGGAGTGTACTGGAACGGGACGAGGTCGATCATCTGCGACTAGGTAGCTCAAGAGGTAGAGCATCTGTCTAGAGTTCGGAAGGTCCCGGGTTCGAATTTTTCCGCTCCTGTTACAATACTATTAAACTAGAAGAAATAGGTGTCTGATTTCCGTGGGCTATGTGCCCACTGTTATCCACAGGTGCTAGCCTCGTCTGTCAATACACTCATTCACTAAAGCAGTGTAGTGACAGGCGAGTCTGTTAGTTACGATTTGGGTTTAGAAATAAAATATAAAATTACTGTTTCATAAACGGCATATGAGACATAATACATTAAGTCAATGGGACAAGTCTCGGGGACACAACTCAAAACGTTGATAAAATATCACTTAAAATCTGTTAATATGCAAGTAATGTTAGTGGAAATTAAAGAAATTGGTACCCAATATAAGGTTACATTGCTAGTGTTTTATTCAAAAGAATACTCACTAATGGGAACTATGCCAGAAACTTCCAGCCATTTTCAATCCTGGAAGGTACTAACTACACCTTGGTATATTTTAAAACACCATCTGTCCCCTGTTTAGTTCCTGATCCTTCTTTGTTTACCCGGCAAATTGGCTGTTCTTATCATGAGGATTGCCGGAAGTGAAGGGAAATTCTTATTGCACACATGCGCAGACATTTTCCGCCAAGTTAATCTTAAAATAGATTTGTAAACAGTTTCCACGTGTGAGGGGGAGACCACTGCAGAAAGACCTTTAAATCACACGTCCTGCGTTCGTTATATATCTATATGTCATACTGTCAGATCTTATTTCATGTAGATTGCCACATTTTTTTGTTTGAAAATAGATATACGACAGCTGCATTTCACAAGATTACTGTATATATCCTAGGCGCATTAATTTCGGACATCTTAACTAGAATAATTTCTCGCTCGCTACGTTGAATTGATGAACTGCCACCAAAGAAATACGTAAATGAGTTGAAATGTGTTCATACTGTAAGATTTATCAGAGATATATGTTATATATGTCTCTGGATTTATTTAAAAACTGATTGATGAAAGACCAGTATTCTTCTATAGAATCAGAGACGTATATATATGTCTCGGATAGAATACTATTTTCGCTCAACTGAAATGATCGACATGTGTATCGGACATTTAACTGCACTCTCGTTTCTGATAGCATCACTAAATCACAGAGACGCTTGATTTAGTGAATACGACTCAGAAGTACACATGTATTACATAAAATCGTCAGGATTGTAGCTAATTCTTGTCTACTTGTCCATGTTTAGATAAATTACTGAAGAAGGAACTTGTGAATACACAGTACTGTAGATAATCCTTGCCTACTTGTCCATGTTTAGATAAATTACTGAAGAAGGAACTTGTGAATACACAGTACTGTAGCTAATCCTTGTCAACTTGTCCATGTTTAGATAAAATACTGAAGAAGGAACTTGTGAATATACAAGTTGTAGCTAATCCTTGTCAACTTGTCCATGTTTAGATAAAATACTGAAGAAGGAACTTGTGAATACACAGTACTGTAGCTAATCCTTGTCTACTTGTTCATGTTTAGATAAAATACTGAAGAAGGAACTTGTGAATACACAGTACTGTAGCTAATCCTTGTCTACTTGTTCATGTTTAGATAAAATACTGAAGAAGGAACTTGTGAATATATAGTACTGTAGATAATCCTTGTCTACTTGTTCATGTTTAGATAAAATACTGAAGAAGGAACTTGTGAATACACAGTACTGTAGCTAATCCTTGTCTACTTGTCCATGTTTAGATAAAATACTGAAGAAGGAACTTGTGAATACACAGTACTGTAGCTAATCCTTGTCTACTTGTTCATGTTTAGATAAAATACTGAAGAAGGAACTTGTGAATATATAGTACTGTAGATAATCCTTGTCTACTTGTCCATATTTACATAAATTACTGAAGAAGGAACTTGTGAATATACAGTATATTATAGAGCTGATATATCAATATAGACTGTCTTAATAGTAATTCAACGGAACTAAAAGCTGGACATATTAGTTTGATTTGTACATACTATATTTATTATATGAAATATCATGTATATATATTGTATGTTTTTTGAGACCAGAGTAGAGGATAGGTATATCCTGTTCTGGTAATAAACTTAAGTACTGTAGCTAATCCTTGTCAACTTGTCCATGTTTAGATAAAATACTGAAGAAGGAACTTGTGAATACACAGTACTGTAGCTAATCCTTGTCTACTTGTCCATGTTTAGATAAAATACTGAAGAAGGAACTTGTGAATATATAGTACTGTAGATAATCCTTGTCTACTTGTCCATATTTACATAAATTACTGAAGAAGGAACTTGTGAATATACAGATCTGTAGCTAATCCTTGTCAACCTGTCCATGTTTGATAAAATACTGAAGGAACTTGTGAATATACAGTACTGTAGCTAATCCTTGTCTACGTTTAGGTAAAGTAAAGAAGGAACTTGTGAATATACAAGTTGTAGCTAATCCCTTTTACTTGTCCATGTTTCTAATAAAACTTTTTACCTTTCCCAAGACATCAAGGTGACCTAGGACATTATAAACCTCTCATTAATTCCTAATATTTAACACATTTGTTGACATAAAGTAACACAAACAAGAACAGAAATATTGGAATTTTGGATTTTTTTATTACCTGTAATGATCAGGAAGTTTATATACATTTCTCCTCAAAAGCCTTTTTTTAAAATCTTGTTAGCTCAAACAGATGTACATGGAAAGACAGTCTAAATGACTTGTGTTCACCACAGAAATTCAAAGCAACATGATCTATTTTGTTTGATGTCAATAATCTATTTTGTTTGATGTCAATGATCTTTTTTGTTTGATGTCAATAATCTATTTTGTTTGATGTCAATGATCTATTTTGGTTTGATGTCAATGATCTATTTTGTTTGATGTCAATGATCTTTTTGTTTGATGTCAATGATCTATTTTGTTTGATGTCGATCTATTTTGTTTGATGTCAATAATATATTTTGTTTGATGTCAATGATCTTTTTGTTTGATGTCGATCTATTTTGTTTGATTTCAATAATATATTTTGTTTGATGTCAATAATATATTTTGTTTGATGTCAATGATCTTTTTTGTTTGATGTCAATAATATATTTTGTTTGATGTTAATGATCTTTTTTGTTTGATGTCAATGATCTATTTTATTTGATGTCAATATATCGGACTTAAAGTGTCTAAAACAGTCACTTTAAACATCTAGAATAGTCACTTGTCTACAACCATTCATCATCTATAAATAGATAACAAAAATAACTGAAGATGTTTTAAATATTTCTACCCTAGTGTTAAGGTTAAAACATCTGTTGTTAATATGTTTGTACATGGTGTTAAGTAGAATGAGATATAAGTGAAACACCATGTAGACACCTGTTGTAAATTTGTTTTACATGATGTCCAGTAGAATGAGATATAAATGAAATGAAACACAATGAAGACACCTGTTGTAAATTCGTTTTACATGATGTCCAGTAGAATGAGATATAAATGAAATCAAACACCATGTTTTATGAATACGTCTGATGTGATAGTACACTTGGTATGTATCAACTCATCCTACACTTACAGGTTTGTGAGCTACAAGAAATGTTATAACTGATGAAAACAATTAATGATGAATTAAAATTATATATTGTTCCATTTAAGAGATTTGTAAACTGCTCTCGGTTAATAAAGTAAAAATGTTTTCTTCTGTAGTGCTTTAGTTACAAGTAAGAGATTCTTAGTTTCCAAATCTAGATCAGAATATTTGGATTTGTATTATAATGTAGTTTTTACAATTTTCCATCTATTTCATACAGTAAAACTTTTAACAATGAAACAAAATGTAAGATAACTTTTGAACACAATATTATTGCACCAACATAAGATTGTACAAACTAGTAACATGACAACTCTCTACTTTTACAGTCTTAATTGGTGCTAGACTGTACAAAATATTATTGTAACAACTTTGTACTTTCTCAATGTAACTCAATACTAGACTGTACAAAATATTATTGTAACAACTTTGTATTTTCTCAATGTTACTCAATACTAGACTGTACAAACTATTATCGTAACAACTTCTTACTTTCTCAATGTTACTCAATTCTAGACTGTACAAACTATAAACATGACAACTTTACTTTCATAATCTTACCCAGTGCTGATGATTTTTAACAAGAAAAGCTTAATATTTTACAAGGTATGATGTTCCCTTATATGTAGAAAGCGGTAAAAATATATAAGACTGTTTTTCTTCAATCACTGCCTTTTAATGACCATGGATTACAGCTACATTTGTGAACTGACCATTCCATTCCATGAAAACAATAGCACCATTCAATGTCGCTTACACACACAGAAACTGGGAATACAGCCAAACTTCTAGAATTAAAAATCAAAGGATTCAAATTTCTTGATGTATCAAAGTTTTTGTCTGGTCCCAAATCCTATTCCTACATATTACTAACTTACCCTCTTATGAATCAAAGTTTTATAAATCAAACTTTTCGATGCATCAAAGTTTTTTCACAGACCATAAGCTATGATAACATAGTCATTGACATCACCTCATGATTCGAACAAAACATTTACCTGCACTGTACAAGTATTTTCGCCCCGCGGCAAAATTTCATACATTCCAATGAAGAGTGCTGCCAGACATTAGGATTATCATAGCTCTGTATCACTAGCTGTGTTTCGGGGTTAATTAATGACTGGACATGGATCTAAATCTAAATGTTTACTTACAAGCCACGGTATTTTATCAAAAATAATGAGACATAGTGTGATGTTCATTGCCACTTTAAGACCTCTTTAATGCTGTGCGTCATTTCATTTAAGATCAACCATATACTGTGTGACATGAAGGATCAATTTCCTGTTGATTTCTATTTAATCTTGTGTTTTGGTGCTTGTTGTCTGTTTAGGTAAAAATATATACATATATATAGCTATGAACATAAAAATGTCGCTATAACCCACCATACATGATTTGAAGTCTCAATGTACCAAAGTTTTTTTTGGTAGTCCCTTGAACTTAAAAACATCGAAGTTTACTGTATAAATTTTTAGAGTCACTGTTTGACTAGAGGTGTTGGAGTGATACCAAAGCCCTCGCTGGCAACCAAGAAGAAACATGGAACATCTGATATTGTGAAAGGCATGGAAAAGAGGTGTATTCTTTATCATAAAACAGAAGTCCTGAGTGAAGAATCTATTGTAAAAGAATTCAAAATAAGTTCATCTTCAGAATTTTGCTTAAAATTTTTTTTCTCACCAAAAATCTACTGAAGTTAGATAAAACTCTGGAACATAGATCTTTCTGTTTTGGTAAAAATTTCAATCAAAATTCTTCCTAGTTAAATAAGCATGAATGACCCATAACTTAAGAATTTTACTTGCATGTTACTAATATAGAACTACCTATGAAATTGGAGTAAATGAGAACTAAGAACTTATAAAAAAATAATCTTTCAACTTTCTATACAATTAAGATATAGTTATCACTGAGCATGTATTCTGCTTTATGTACAGGGTCTGGAAAGATGCCACACTCGGAAGCAGAACAGCCTGAAATTTTACAACACAAGGAACAACAGTATCTTCAGTGAATGATAATGGTACTCCAAGGTCATTCTCCATGTAGATTGACAATGTCAGGGTCTCACAAGCCAGAGATAATGTCAATAAGATGTCTGAACATTTCCAGCAGGAACTATTTTCTCTCACTACTTTCACATTTTCACAGCATTCATTCCATCAGCCTCACAAAACCTCTTTCATTCGCTGTCATCTTCTTTCATTTTCTTGTGTTTCTTTTTCTTCTTCTTCTTTTTCTCTGATGATGCCTGTCAGGATTACAACAAACAGCAATTAACAAATGTATTCTAAACCATGGACAGACTCATTCAAAATTTCATTTAGAGTTCTAGGATCAAGTAGATGTTTAACTGGAATGGTATTTAGTTACCAGGTAAATAAATTCCAGAATTTATTCATATTTATTTTAATAACAATTATATATCAAAATCCATTCGCCATTGTAGATATGAATAAGCATATGGTGACAGGGAGAAACATATATCTATAAATGAAACGGATTCCGACAACAGATCATTATGTATGAACTGGGTTCAGACAAAAGACTTATGTATAAAATAGATTCAGACAAAAGACCATTATGTATGCAATGGATTCAGACAACAGACCGTTATGTATGAAATGGGTTAAAAAAGCAGACTGTCATTTACGAGATAGATTCAGACAACATTATTTGTTTAAGTGGATTGCATACCTCTACCATAGATGTATCTGCTGCTGAAGCTTCCTCCTCTTCATCCTGTTCTTTCTTCTTCTTTTTCTTTTTCTTCTTGTCTTTGGAGCTGGGTGTTTCAGGTGATGGTGTGGCTGGAGTTTTAGGGGTCGGTGGCTCACTTTCGTCTGAGCTACTAGTGTCCAACTTTCTCTAAAGAACAATAAACAATGGATACAGAAGAGACATCATGATGACACACAACAGCTAAACAACAGACAAAATATAAACAGGTGTGATCAGATTATTAACAAAATTTATCCAAAATATTGTGGACTATGTTCAGGTCACATGAATATTTTAATAACAATGTGGTCAACAGGATGTTCTCAACTCTACATGTCTGTATGTATTTTAACCCTATTCCTGTATCTGGCCGACAGGATGTTCTGAACTCTGCTTGTCTGCATATCTGTATCAATTTATGACTCCCAAAGTAGACCAAAAATCTATCTCAGTTTTTATAATCAGGGTTTTCCATAAGAGCTGGTCGCCGGCCAATTTGACCGGCTACTTTGATCATTTGATCGCCTACACCAATCCAGTTCCGTAATAATGTTCCATACACGACTACACGTATAAGGCAAACTAGCCTCCTACTTTCACTACACAGCCTACTACTAACAAAATTATGGAAAACCCTGATAATACTGTTATGTACCTTTGTTTATTATTGCTCATGTCCCTAACCTTGTTTGTCTGGACAGGTGTGGTTACAGAGTTATGTACTTTTGTTCATTATTGATAATGTCCCTTACCTTGTTTGTCTAAACAGGTGTGGTTGCAGAGTGATGTCCCTTACCTTGTTTATCTAAACAGGTGTGGTTGCAGAGTGATGTCCCTTACCTTGTTTGTCTGGACAGGTGTGGTTGCAGAGTGATGTCCCTTACCTTGTTTGTCTAAACAGGTGTGGATGCAGAGTGATGTCCCTTACCTTGTTTGTCTGGACAGGTGTGGTTACAGAGTTATGTACTTTTGTTTATTAATGATAATGGCCCTTACCTTGTTTGTCTGGACAGGTGTGGATGGAGGAACAGCTCCTGTATCATTCGATTTTTCTATCTTCACTGAACTGAAACAACAAAAAGATCTCAAGTACAGTCGGAGTCTTTATACCAACAAAAGGTGGAAAACATTTGTGGAAATCCATACAAGTATTTCAACATTCATGCTTGTATGTGTAGTTGACAACTTGTAAATTATTACATTAAAGGAAATGAATTGGAAGGAGTCGTAAACAAGTTATTTCTTATATACATTTAATTAAACCAATAATTGTATATATCTATTTTGTTTTCAGATTATCAAAAATCCTTATACTATACAGTCAGTCCAAACTTGTAACTTTCTCCTAATGTTTGTTTTCAGAGTGTCTGTATCATATTATTCATTCTTTACATAATCAAGTATTTACAGAAATTTAAATGGTATCATATTATTCATTCTTTACATAATCAAGTATTTACAGAAATTTAAATGGAACATACAGATGTACAAATGTACATCAATTAACAAATTACATCAAAGGTAATAGTCTATCTGACTGGTTTAGAGTCAGTGATCAGTCTATGTGTCAGTCCGGAATCCTGAACTCATAGAATTTTTGAGGGGAGAATTTCTAAAAATACTTCAATTTTACATTGCACTATCCATTATTTTTTAGAAATAAAGCTAAACAGGACTCATGAAAATTGTGGATTGATCACTAAGGGTGATGATTATCGACTTAGTAAGCTGTTCAAACACTGATATTAATTTTGTATAATGCTTGTATAGTTTGAAGGGCAGATTCAAGGAGACGAGAAATCGTCGTCGTCATCGTCATCGTCATCGTCATCATCATCATCATCATCATCATCATCTACTAATGGTTTTACCTGTAGTCATGATAAGAACTTATCCAATCTTTAGGAGTTTTCTCATTTGGTTTTCCGTGTTTATCTAGTAGTCCTTCAGCTTTCATTTTCTGTTTTTTACTGGACTGTAATGAACATATTGTATAAGTGATAATGACTAATCAGTAGACCTCATTTACATAAAACCTCATGAGTGACAAATTATTAAAATACATCAGACAGATCAATGTTCCATGATTAAGATATACATTTTTAAAAACAATTCTGAGGATTTCAATTTCTGAAAATAAAAAGTGGACAAATCTGGGAGTGGTTGTACCAAACAGTTTTAATCATGAAAGGAAATGAATCTCTTCCATGACTTGAAGCTGCTGGACTTTACTGTTGCTACCGTTCAGTTCCATATCGTGAATATTGTCAGGAAATGGTAAAAGCTAGGTAGCGGTGTAGGTGTACAAACAAAAGTTTCCATTTAGAATTAAATCCTTCAATACACAGTGAAGTGATACATATCACTGCAGATTTGTTTTATCAGCACCACTAATCTCAGCAGTGTTTTAAAATTTCATATTTTCATATGTTGACCCTACATGGGAAATATCTATAAACACCTAATTGCTGACCAGATATTAGGGTTTGAGGATTCTCAAGTGAGAACAGATTACTCTGATCAAAGTCTAAAAATAACATTAAACTGTCATGGAAAACTGTTTTTGTGATAACCTTTTGAAAGTTCAGTAAGATTTATTTCGTTTGGGGGTTTATGTCCTCACAACAGCAAGGATCATATGTAGCCATGGATGATGAGACCACTCTTGGCTGATTTTATAGTGTTATCACACTGAAATATCAGCACTTGAAAAAACAACAGCAACAAGACATTCATGTAGATATATCATTTCCAAATATTTTTCCCTATCATGAACTATAAGAAGAATTTTAAGAAGATTGTTGCTACTTACTACTGGTCCAAGTTTCCATTTCCTTGGGTATGTGTCCCTCTCCATGATCACACGTTTGATTTTGGCTACAACTCCATGGTCACAAGTTGACATCACTGCAGTGGTCATCTGAGCAATTGCTACAAACAACATTTACTAATTAGAGTGGTGAAGAAAAATGTCTGAATTTTTTTTCATTTTCTTTCAAAATGAAATTTCCATTTCGAAATTACTGTCAACAAGAAAAAGACAAGAGTATCAATGAAACTGATCAATGCTCCCCTAGAAAGGACTTCATGGGGTTCTGTAATTTAGGGGTTTCAGGCACTTCAGTACATTGTACAGCCTCTTAGTTTGACCAATATATACACCAAGTTTCATGATCCTTGCTCAACTGTGGGCAAAGTTATGCAAAGGGACTTGGAAGGATGATCGGACAAAGCAGCGACTATGTACTCCCCTAACATTTTTAGGGAGCATAAAATCATTCATTCATATTTTGACCCTTTAACTTTGACTGATGACCATACTAGTTTATGCTGCGAATGTAGGTGATATGCCTTTGTTAATTAGCGAGTGTCAACAGGACACTACAACACCTTAAGAAACAGTAGTGTTTTGTTCTGGTTATAGTCTGAATGTACACTGCACCTCCTTCATATTACAGATTTGCTCTACATAACATATACTTCATTTGTGAATTATCACAAAAGTATCGGGTGGAGAACATGATGTTATGATACTATATGCTAAATATTATTGAAGTGCTTAAGATATGACACCAATTCGGAATAGGACAGGATGGGAAGGACAGACAGGGACAAAACTGTCCCACCATCCCCCAATAAACCAACAGGGACATTAGATAAAAGTAATACAGCCAATATACCTAGGGCTACAGCCTCTCCTTTTGTTGTAATTATGACTATTTCATCATTGATTTCAATACCATCTTCGTATCGCAGCACTCCTGGCAACATGATTTTAGCCCCGTAACACACAGCGTTTACCTATAAGGATCAAACAGTTATAACAATGCCATGTCCTTATGTTTCAAAATTATTTTACAAAGATTGATTATAGTCAATTATCATTCAAGTATTAAAATGTTTTTAATTCATTTTTTTTTTACTTTATTAAGTATGACCTTTCATTTATCTGTCGTGGAAAGTGCCTTCTCATCATTTTAAACTTATCAAGTATGACCTTTCATTTATCTGTCATGGAAAGTACCATCTCATCATTTCAAATTTTATCAAGTATGACCTTTCATTTATCTGTCGTGGAATGTGCCTTCTCAACATTACAAATCATCGTCTCAACAACAGTAAATACATATAAGTGTGCAACTTACAGCTGTGTCCTTCATAATGATACGTTTGTGAGCTGTGAGGAGAGCCTCGAGAGGTCTGATGATGCGGCGTAGATAGGTTTCATCTTTGTGGTTATCATATATCCACTGAGCATCAAGAATATCATGCATGGTCACCAATCCCTCCTAATAAATCAACAGCAATCGTACGTCACCAATCAAATGTGATTCTTAAGGATCCTAACGGTGATATCATCACAAAGAGCCTTGTATTAAACTGTGATATTAGTATTTCAAATCTTTACCATGTTTTCCCTCTACTTGAGTGTTTTGTCTTTGAATTTCTAAAAGAAAATATGCTTCATCTAGTCATTCCTTTGAAATGTGAATTAAGTTAAATAAATGTACATGATAAGGTCTACTGTATTATGTCTTCCTAATACCCTTGTTTTACTATTTCATCTTATCAGAAATATCAACAAGATGCATTTAATCCCTTCACTATGTAGTACCTAAAAAGTATATTGTTTAACTACAGAGTTGATTACTATTTGTTATCCTACACTTGATATAATTATTAGGACAGTTTATCATCATCAAAACATTTTTTCTGGATTTACTAAAATTTTCCTCTGCAGTTTACACAATACACTTTTTTTTTTTGATTTTTCTAAAGTAAAAAGAAAAAGTAAAGTAAATACTTCAGCAAGATACATCATATTTGTGTGCGTACACACCTTCTCAGACTGAATGCCTGACCGCACACGCCGCAGTTCCTGCATCTGACCTCCGACCCCAAGGAAAAGTCCCAGATGGACACACATTGTCCTAATGTATGTGCCGGCCTCACAGCTTACCCAGAAAATGCCTGAGTAAGACACGAAATAGCACTCTGTTAATATCTCAGCTGACAGCAGCTGGTAGTATATGACATGAAATAGCACTCTGTTAATATCTCAAAATAGCTGGCAGTATATGACATGAAATAGCACTCTGTTAATATCTCAGCTGAAAGTAGCTGGCAGTATATGACATCAAATAGCACTCTGTTATATCTCAGCTGAAAGCAGCTGGCAGTATAAGACATGAAATAGCACTCTGTTAAGATCTCAAAATAGCTGGCAGTATATGACATGAAATTGCACTCTGTTAAGATCTCAAAATAGCTGGCAGTATATGACACGAAATAGCACTTTGTTAATATCTCAGCTGACAGCAGCTGGTAGTATATGACATGAAATAGCACTCTGTTATATCTCAGCTGAAAGCAGCTGGTAGTATATGACATGAAATAGCACTCTGTTATATCTCAGCTGAAAGCAGCTGGCAGTATAAGACATGAAATAGCACTCTGTTAATATCTCAGCTAAAAGCAGCTGGCAGTATATGACATGAAATAGCACTCTGTTATATCTCAGTTGAAAGTAGCTGGCAGTATATGACATGAAATAGCACTCTGTTAATATCTCAGCTGAAAGTAGCTGGTAGTATATGACATGAAATAGCACTCTGTTAATATCTCAGCTGAAAGTAGCTGGCAGTATATGACATGAAATAGCACTCTGTTAATATCTCAGCTGAAAGTAGCTGGCAGTATATGACATGAAATAGCACTCTGTTAATATCTCAAAATAGCTGGCAGTATATGACATGAAATAGCACTCTGTTAATATCTCAGCTGAAAGTAGCTGGTAGTATATGACATGAAATAGCACTCTGTTATATCTCAGTTGAAAGCAGCTGGCAGTATATGACATGAAATAGCACTCTGTTATATCTCAGTTGAAAGCAGCTGGCAGTATATGACATGAAATAGCACTCTGTTATATCTCAGTTGAAAGCAGCTGGCAATGTATTCCATTTCTTGGGTACATAATAAGTGTGAACATATATAGTTTTCTTGACCATTTAAATAAGAAATGTAAAATCAGTTTTTAGTTATTGACATTAGAATGTTAGATGAAACTACGTACCCATGCCCTTCTCTTTGTCATACTCCAACATATTACACTCGTAAACTGTTCTTATTCTCAGCTGGCGCTTCACAGCTGATATCAGTGGAGGTCTCTGGAATAAAGCTCCTGTCAACATCTCTAGTTTCTGTAAAACAAGAGATGAAAACGATTTATACAGTATCTTTTCATTATCAAATGGACACATCAATCTAGATTACTAATTCAAATCAAGTACTTTCAAAAGCAATTTAAAATCCAGTTAAATCAAAATGTTTTCTCAAATTTGAGTCACTCCAGTCATGTGACTTTACAATTTTGTTACCCCAAAGCATTTAAAGTCTGTGCAATTGATAGAAGCAAGGGAATTACAAGTACCAATGAATTATTTTACTGTGATTGATGATGTAACAATGGAAATAAAGAGAAAAACATGCCATCAAATATCAATTATAAGTTTTTTAAAATTCAAAACCCTAAATATACCAATATTGGAAAAAAGAAACTTTCTCAGATTTTAAATGATAGTCTGTACCTCAGTTTCATCTAGTTAAGATTAAGATATAACCATGAAAAGTGCTTTTAACATACCAAAATTGTTTCAAGATGTCTGTTAAATAAGGTTAACTATATTTGAGATGTATAAATACTTTAATGATCTTGATGTTTCATGAACTAAAACATATTTACCATGGACTGTGCAGAAGTAGGGATAACAAAATTTCTGAAGGCTGAAACTAATCACAAACAGATTTGTTGACAGTTTCCTTATGAAAACTTCAGAAGAATCTTTTTCAAATCAGGCTTTCAAGAATTCCTTAATGTGAAACATCTAAAGGTGTTAAGTCTCAAATGAAAAGCTATAAAATAGAACATTAAGAATGAAGTAACAAAAGTACACAGGGAGCAATTTTTAAAAATTTGCTTTACCTGTGAAACCAAACGCTCATCTTCCACTGGACTGTGAAGACGAAATATACACACATACTCCTTTCCTGCCCCTTGCTGAGATTTGACTAATCGTGTTGCTCTCTGTATGCAGACAATGAGACATCCTGTCACTTTAGGATCAAGAGTTCCACTGTGACCAGTTTTTTCCACTCTCAGGATACGTTTAATCCAGGCCACAACTTCATGAGATGAGGGGTTAGCTGGTTTATCTAAATTGAAAAACCCACTCCTGGAAAGAAACACATATATTAATACTTCCAATCAATACATTTCTATTTACAGATTCCTCAGAAATAAACAGTTTAATATTTTCAAGAACTAACAACATGACTTTAATGTTTAACATATCATATCTGGTAAATTTTGATGCAAAACAATCTTTGAAACTACACCCAGGGATTTTTTTTTAAAAAGAAGAATACAATTTCAGAAACGCTCTAAAATTTACATCATTTCTCTGATCAAATTCAATGCAACGAGTAACACAATACAGATCAGAATGATCAAAAGGGCTGTAACGAGAACCAAAGTACCTGTATACAGGTCAGGTTTGAGAAATAACCAGGTTCAAAAATGTGTTTCTGGGTATCCATCAAAATAGGAAACATAATGTCTTCCGTCTGTGTTTACATTTCCGATTAAAGGTAATACTCATTTGTTCTGTTAACCAAGGATGACAATTTATCCGTTTGTTACATTTCCACATTCAACATTGTTGTACTTTAGTTTTCTCGCGACCACATTTTGTTTTTGAAACCGTCAAACATGTGTACACACAGCAGATAAAATGCCAGGCTTCCTGAATTTCATGTTTGAATTAAACAATATTCATATTAATTTATTTCAGTGTATTTTGATTCCGGGTTCAAACTTTTCTATGATGTCGAGCACAATTACTCTTGTCAAATACAGTAATGTCTTTCCTGTTGCGCATGTGTGCATAACAGCACCCTGTCGGGCACATTCTGTAAACTTTTGGTCTGATGCCATTTGTCTCAAGATCATTTAAATTACAGTTGATAAGTGCAAAGAAAGGACTGCAATAATATCTTCAGTGAAGAATTGTGTTCAGACAATGTATATGGTTGATTTTTATTTGTTCCCCCAAAGTTACAAGCCTTTTTCAACATTCGAGTACCCAGGCCCAAAATGTTGTACCCATGACTGCCCTAATAATCAAAAAGATATTTGTTGATTCTGCACTATTGAATTTGAAAAAAAAACTAATGGTTTTAAAATGTGGCAGTTGATATTCACTGTTCAAATGTTTTTTTCTCAGGAGATATTAACATACCTGACATATTCATCAATTGGTCGTTTCAAGGGAGAGCACCCTGTAGGTATGGGGGTGTAATGGGCTGTTCTGACATTGAGTTTGTCAACATTCTGGAATAAAAAGAAGTAATTATAACACTATACATGACTACTGTCACACTATTAAACTCTACTGTTTTGCCTTTCATTACAGTATACAAACACTTTAGACATTCGACATCTGAGAGTGCTTCACTCCTTAATGTAAGTTTTGAGTTTGAGGGGACATGTCTATTGTATATTAACTTCTGACCCTTCAGTTTTGCAAATTCACTTCTATAACTTATAATTAGCAAGGTTCAACTGAATACCCTGTAATTGAATAATATCCAATGCTTAAAATGCATAAAAATATTTGAGAATTTAACTGGCTAGAAATAGTACATTTTAGAATTTAAACAGCATAAAATCTTATTATGCCTAAATCCCATCGTCACTTATTCAGCGTTATGCATTGAGACACTGACTACTACAAGAAATTACAGGAGCTTTCATTTTCTGTTTTTTACTGAATTGAAATGAACATATTGTATAAGTGATAATGACTAATCAGTAGATCTCATTTACATAAAACCTCGTTGGTGACAAATTATTCAAAAATATCAGACTGATCAATGTTCCAGGGTTTTCCATAAGAGCCGGTTTCTGGCCAATTTGACCGGCAACTTTGCTCATTTGGCTGCCTATACCAATCCAGTTCCGTAATAATGTTCCGTACACGACTACACGGAAATTTATGGAAAACCCTGATGTTCCATGATTAAGAGATTTCAATTTCTGAAAATAAAAGGTGGACAAATTTTGGAAGTGGTTGTACCAAGCAGTTTTAATCATGAAAGGAAATGAATCTCTTCCATGACTTGAAGCTGCTGGACTTTATTGTTGCTACCGTTCAGTTCCATATCATGAATATTGTCAGGAAATGGTAAAAGCTAGGTAGCGGTGCACAAACAAAAAGTTTCCATTTAGAATTAAATCCTTCAATACACAGTGAAGTGCTACATCACTGTAGATTTGTTTTATCAGCACCACTAATCTCAGCAGTGTTTTAAAATTTCATATTTTCATAAGTTGGCCCTACATGGGAAATATCTATAAACATCTAATACCTTACCAGATATTAGGGTTTGAGGATTCTCAAGTGAGAACAGATTACTCTGATCAAAGTCTAAAAATAACATCAAAATTTTCATGGAAAACTGTTTTTGTGATAGCCTTTTGAAAGTTCAATAAGATTTTTTCGTTTGGGGGTTTATGTCCTTACAACAGCAAAGATCATATGAACAGTAACCATTGATGATGAAACCACTCATGGCTGATTTTATAGTGCTATCACACTGAAATATCGACACTTGAAAAATAACAGCAACAACACATTCATGTAGATATATCATTTTCATACATTTTTGCCCATCATGAACTTTAAGAAGATTGTTGCTACAGGAGCTCATAGTTGAGTTGACGTAAAGCAAAACAATGGATATCATTAATTGATAACAAAATGGCCTTAAATATAAATGTATTTTGCATGCACTGGGTACTGCCCAAGATTAGTTGGATGATTGTTGCATATTAAGTGCAAAACTTGAGCATCTAAAAGTGGACCACTATTCAAAGGTGAAAGATTTTATTAAAGTCCACTGTTGGTCCGAGTGTTAGAGACTGCCAATATGTTAAACCCTTTGATTCTAACACATCCCACAAGTAGCACTGCTAGGGCAGTTTTTTGTGCCCTGTATGTTTTTTTTTACTTTAAAATGTGTCGTTCCCAGCAGACAAGACTGTGTTATTTTTCCTAAAGTGAAGAAAAATAAAAGATGTTTCCAGAATTTTTATGAAATCTTACCATAATGTTTCAATTTATACCGGCTTCTGTGAAACTTAGCTGCAAGTAACACTGCAGAGAGTTACATTCACTTTAGATTATTCTCTAGCTTTACAACTTATGTAATCTCAAAAGTCAATAATCATTTCATAGACATTTATAAGTATCAACAACAGTAGCCTTACCTTCAACAGCAGAGGCCATTGTGAGGAATCTAACTTGTCAACCTTTGTAGAAGGCTGTAGCAGAAAGTTTTCAGAATGCTGCACATCCTGTAAATGTAAACATATTTATCATTTAGTACAAACTATTACAGTGATATATCTAATCCGGTCAATGACTTTACACTGAGCTCTAAACTGCTGTACACAGATTGCTTCAGTTCAACGTTTGCCAATTTAATCAGGTGAAAATAAAATGCAAGTAGAAAAATCAGATAAAATATTTTTTTATGCATCTTAAGGATAATTTAAAACTGGATGAAAATAAAAAGTTCTATGTGAGGTGAAAAAAAATCTTTGGTAAATGTTTTACTGTAAACAGTATATCTGAATGTGCTGTAGTACTAACATGTACATAATACAATGAAGACAACTGCCTCTCTAAAATAACAAGAAACAAAACTTTAGAAAGGAAACTTACAGCCAAACTCTGTGACTTCTTTTTCTTTTTATCTGAAAAGTATAAAGACAAAATAATTAATCCCACTATAAACAAATGTTAAAACAAAGAGTGTGTAAAAATATATACATACATATATAGAGAACTAATGTGACATGGTTTTATTTGATTTCATCATAAATATTCAACAACAGCTAGACAATTCTTTTAGTATAAATCTGCAAGGTAGATGGAAGGTAATGGGTATTATTGTATCTTTAAAAAAAAAAGAATGATATTGCCTTTTTCTTCTTTGTAGCAGTTTCTGAATAGTTTTCTTTCACACCAATTTTCTTTCTGGACTTGTGTAACTAAATCAAGGAACAACTAGGATTCTGTTTCATCCTGTTAGAGTCCTTCCCTGAATTGAGATCTGGTAAAAGAATGTGCCCTCTGGGGGTTTAATTTTATAATTTCTAAACGAAATCTGAATTAAATCGACTTCATGAAAATGTGCTTTTTTAAAACATCTCAATGTATCTAGGGGCAGATTTAGACAGGTGTAAAATGTAGGGTTTTTCTCCAAGTTGTTAGTTTCATTTGTAAACTTCTGATTGTTGACTTCTGAGGGCAATGACAGTCTGACATGCCATTTAACTGACTCAATTATGCCATTTGTAGCCTTTGACAAGTGTTTATATCAATCTAAACAGTTGTTACTTGTACAGAACTATCAATGTTATTAGCATAAAATTCTAAGTAATAACATGTAAGATTTGAAGGCTACACATTGCTGCCTAATTCACACATCATCTAGCCAGTCTGACAAACGAGTTCTAAAGGATTTTTTCTAAAGTCAAACTGAAACAAATTATTGAATAAGTTTTAAGGAAACTGAAAGACCAAGAATATCATCTCATGACAAAAATAATATAAGGCCAAGTGAAAATTATCTTAAACATTGCTTGGTTTGCATGTTCGTCCCACTTATATTATAATAGCCCAAAGCATGCTGTTTTATCTACATTTAGAAAATAGTGTAATAATTTCCCTCACACACTTTTTTGTTATAAAAAAACTATTTCCCTCAATTTATGAAGTAACAGTTGTTGTCTACTATAAGTTAATATAAGGAGGCATTGTATGAATCATTTCCAGCCTTGTTTCTGTAGATTTGCCAATGCAATCAGGGAATTCGTTGGTTGCCATTGGGCGCTATATCACCGACGAATTTCAGTGTTTTGGCGTAGTAAATGGACGACCTACAAGCCCCACACCATCCCATATGGGGTGAAGACGTCGGTCGATTCAAATTAAGATGTCTTACAATAAAGCGGACAAGACCTCTTCTATGTATAAGATTTGACTTTTGTTATGAAAGCATACCACCATGAGAAGCGGCGGCGTTATATTGAAAACAGCAGAGTGATTAATGGTTTGCTGATATCGTAAATAAGTTAATTAATCCTCGTCATCATCAATATCGCTGTAACGTTATTTCGCGACCATACCTCCTTTGCCAAAAAAGTAAACACGTGGTGGAGGACTGGTTATATCGTAATTCTGAAAATAACCCCAGAAATACAGACCAATTCATATCTTACTACAGCAAACTGATTAATTAAAACCGTAATTCCGTATGGATATGTATGATAATTGCATTAACTTGCTGTCAGTCGCGCAATAGTTAAATAAGTTCAGCATCGTTTACCCATGCCGCTTACCGTTATCCGCCATTTTGCTTCAAAACACGTGTGAATTTAAATACCCATTAACAAACGATACCATCTGAGGCATTACAAAAGTTTGATGGAGGTGATAAATCCAGAGACATTCCGAGAAGCTCCAAGACATGTGCGTGCGCACATGATTATTTATTTCCGGAAAAGTAGTCTGCGAAGAATTTCTGCTTGCCGTGCAAATCATGAATAGACGTTTTCTCCTTTAAATAAGTTGTCTTTGTTCGTGACAGTAGTTCACGATATTGTGATTATCTTTTTTTTTGAATGGTAATTATTAATAGCAATAATGCGGAGGTCCGCTGATTTGTTTATGTAAGTTGACGCGGGAAAGATGTTCGTACTAGTGCCGTTTGAAACTTTAGATACTGTAGGCTTGTGAGGTGGTGGCAGAATATTATTCAAATATTTTGCATTTATATTCGTAAACTTGGTCTACCATATTTAAACAGGATATCTTTCATTTCAGACGGACAGAAAGACTGAGTGAGAGAAGAAATGGGTGTGCAAGGCCTCTGGCAGCTTATTCAGTCAACTGGTAAACCAGTCTCCCTCTTGTCTCTCGACGGCAAAATACTTTCAATCGGTATCCTTTGTAACAAATAGTATGCTGCAGTTTATAACATATAACAATAATGTTGCTTTGAGCAGTTGATGTACGACATAACAATTACAGAAAACCGAGTGTCGGTGGAACTGATGCTGAATTGTCTCTGAAAACAACCTTATGTTCTAATTCATCAGTACAAACGAACATAAATCATTTATCTCAACACTTCAATATAGAATATAGCTGACTGCAGCTATCATTTTACTGTGGTAATGCTACATGAAATTGAAGACAATTAAATGTGCACAATAAAATCCTGTTGAGACACATCTCACTCCTTGAAGGAATCAACAGTCAAGATGACGGGGTCCTAGGAATCCGTCCTGACGTAGTAAATGTCATCAAGGTGACTGGGTTCTAAGTAATCTGTCATAAGCTGTCTACAAACCTAAAAACATAGGAGAAAACGCTTTCAACATTCCACCGTACATTTCCAGGTAATTCATGTGTTGCCCATAATACTCTGTGTACGTCAGACTATATGCCTAACCATTCAGTGCATACATACGTGCTCACACACCTGTTTGACCCCAGTGTTCCCTTACCATTGATAAATATAATTATTGAAGGCTTTTCATATCTGTAGATTTTGTATTTGGTCATCATAATATGAAAAAGTCAAAGCGTTAAATGAGTGTGGTGTTTGCTAATAGTTTACTTGTTATTTGTATTAATGACAAAATATTTTACATATGGAATATAAATGTTCCTTCATAGTTTGAAACTTCTTCTGACACCTTGAAGATTATACCTTACCTTATGCTACCTTATGTTGTTTCTGTCTGCAGGACCAATTGGTCCTCTATATGCAGCTCAGAATTGTCCGTAAACACAGGGTAATGAATCGACATCCTTCTGGTATCTGGTCCAAAGCTTGTTGTAAAACTGAACTGCAGAGGGTGGTTTTCTCAGAGCTTGTCAATTTTATTTTTGAAAAGGTTTGTTGATCTAGCTGAGATTACATGTATGGGAAGACTGTTCCATGTATCTTCTATTCTATGTGAAAAGTTGTATTTTCTGGTGTCTTTGGCACAATGTCATATCACAAGTTTCAACAAATTTCCTCATATGCTGCTGGACATATTTAATTTCAACATATCCGAAGTAACTTTCTGGTCATAGATACCATTCAAAAGTTTAAAGAATTCTATCATATCTCCACACATTCATCTGAAATTCAGGGTGGGTAACTTTAATCACTTCAGTTGTTGTCCATAGTTCATGTCTTTCATGTTAGGTGACATCCTTGTAGCTTGCCAATGTACATTTTCTACTGTTTTCATTTTCTTTTTCTTATACAGTGACCAGAGCTTGCATATTCCACATAAGGCCTAACCAGTGCTTTAAATAGTATGCAGAATGTTCTCTTGTCTAAATATACAAAGCTACGTCTTGTAAGCCCAACAATCTTATTTGCTTAATTTACTTGAATTTGTATGCTTTTCGAAAGTGAGATTCCTATCTATGGTTACGTCGATATCTCTCTCGCTTTCAACATTTTCCAAGACTTCTCTACAGCCATCGTATTTGTTCATGCTATACTTAGTTTCCACAATAGTCTTACCTTTGTTGTGGATGGATGAATTTCAGTATTTTCATTGATTGTTTAGGTTTTGTTCAGTCAGAATTAAAAAGAAAAATGAATAGATATTTATTGTTTGAAATGTAGTGGTGTTTGTATTTGTTATATCGCAAGTGAACACTTTTGTCAATTGCGAAAGATGGCTGAAAGATGGCTATTAAGAGATGCTGTTTCATGTACAACTGCAAGAACTTTCTAACTTCCAAGTAGTCCAAACACATATGCTGATCAGTTGATGCCTTGACAAGTTTCTAATTTAGATGTGAGCATATGGCTCCACCATGCTGTTAAAGGAATGAGGGACAAGGATGGAAATCCCCTTCCAAATGCTCATCTTCAAGTCCTGTTTTCTCGGATCTGTAAGCTGCTATTCTACAATATAAAACCTGTGTTTGTCTTTGATGGTGGTGTGCCAGTACTGAAGAAGCAAACTCTGGTAAGCTGCTCTATGTGAACAACTTGTTAAGAAATGAATATTTATCTGAATACTGTTCAGCTATGAATAGATACAGAAATTGTTACAGAAAGGCTGATGAAATAACCAGGGAATCATGTAGATTAATTAACGCCTAAAAATAATCTGCAAGTTTCTGCTAATATGCCAAAAAATAGGCAGGTTGGTTTGGAAATCTTTTCTTTTGAAGTAATTTCAACTGACAATATCCGATTAAATCTGCCTTTAAAGGATAGCAGTAGGACTAAGCAAAATTATGTAGAAGATTTATTACACATACTCATAAAAAAAAACAATGAAAGTAGGCTGACAATTGTATTATAGATATAATACATGATACACTTCAGTAGTATTGTGTACCCTATAGAATGATTTCTTTGGAGCATATCTTTTTCATTATTTATGAGAAAAGAAGAAAGGAAAATGACCACTGGGCATTTGTATACAAAATGTAATTGATCTTCATGATAAAAACTCCATATTTCATCCTGGAAATTAAATAGTTGAGCTCAAAATTAGGTGTCTTACAATGCTTTACTGTTTTATGTAGCTACTGGAAAGTGTTTGATGTGACATTCAGTTACAATGCCGTCAATTCCTTGATATTTTATAGATGTAAGGAAACTTCCCTTTGATTAAGTGTAGCCATTTTCACACAACTGTTCCCATAGCTGGGTTTGTTATGCTGAATAACCCAAAATTTATTTATCGTGAATAGGAACCAGTAAATGGGGAATAAGTCGTACTGAATAATCAAACTCATCATTAGCAAGTGTCTGCTGTAACAAGGTGTCTGCTATGAAAGTTTTCCTCTTGTTTAGGGTTGACTCTACATGTATTATATAAATATTATTTCATTCTTAGATATGTACATAAACTAAAGGCTTATATAAGAACGATCACATCTGAGTTTGATTCTGAAACAAGTTTTACAACTTATATAAATCTGTCTCCTTTTTTACATGTACAGATAAGGGATTACATAATCGTCCTTCCTCAGTTTGTCAAATGAATTTTTGGGTTAGGCTGAAAATTAAAGAGTTAGTGGAAACTCTGATATGTTATTTTAAAACTTAATCTGAAATTTATCGTTTGCTATGTGAATGTGTTTTGATTTGAATTTTTTTCAGATATAACACATACTTAGCATTAGGTAGTTATTCATTCAACATGTGTAAGAGGAGGAATTTGGCATCATAAAATATTTGTTACATCCACTCCTTTTGAATATATCTCCAAATCTTGTTTGCTGAATGAAACATCAATTACATCAATTGAAAGTTCCTCAGACAAGGATATAACTACCAAAACATTTTGTAATATCAAAATTGATATACTAACATTAATTTGTGTGGAATGTAACATGGACTCTGATTCTGATGTAATGCAGGACACCATAATTGCAACTGGCGAATAAAAAATCATTGTCAAGAGATAAAATTCTTGAAACAGTATTTTGAAAATCATTGTGGATAGAAAAAATGCATCTTCGTTTATCAGTATCCAAGAAAACTTGGTGTCCTGTCAGGTCTGCAAATTATTTTTGTAAGTAAAGCTTATTTGATGGTCTAAAATTGAAGTTACAAGTTTTTATAGCAATACTTAGTTTAATATATTTAAACTTTTATCTGTTCAGATCGCTCTGTGTCCATGGTCTGCCCTTCATCTGTGAAAAATTTTGTTATCACTATTTCTTGAGAAGTACTGGATGGATCTTTCCCAAATTGCATATGTAGATTCCCTTTGGTCCCTAGTTGTGCCTATTTGATTTTGGGACTGGTAAAAAAAAACACAATGGCCAACAGGCAGCCATCTTGGATTTTTTCAATGAAGTTTGTTATCACTGTTTCTTGAAAAGGAAATGATAGATCTCTCTCAAATTTCAAATGTAGGTCCCACTTGGTCTCTAGTTGTGCCCATGTATTATAGATTATGTCATAGATTTTGACTTTGAAATTTTATTTTCCCTATTTCTTGAGTACATGTATAGGTTCCTTTAGGCCAGACGGCCATTTTGGATATGGCAGGTGAAGATTATCATCACTATTTCTGCTAAGTAATGTTCAAATGTCTTATCATTAAGAGCAAAAACAGAAAAGAGAAAAGAAGGGAAAAGATTCAATTTTTTCAAAGTGCATATAAAAATCAAACAATGTTTGGCGCCAAGATCCTTCTGGGATCTCTTGTTCATGAATTTGACGATAAAACATACTTGAGACGGAGAGATATTCCCAAATGAACAGCTGTATTTCTTCCTTCATATCATCTGTACAAAGGGGTTTTAAATCCAAGTAATGTACAACGATCATTTGGTAAGACTTGAAACCTTTGTGCATGAGGCTTTTCTAAAGAAGGAGCACTTGGGTGCTGTTTTCTTCGATATTGAAATGACTTAAAACACTACTTTTTCGTGTATCCATTCTGGTTGTTGAGCAAACCAAATTCTTAGGTGTAATATTCGACAGGAAATTGTCATTCCTTCTATATATAAAATACCTTAAAGCTAATAGAAAAGTTTTGCTAAGACTTTATAGAGCTCTTATTAGATGAAAATAAGACTGCGGTTTCATTGTGTATGGATTTGCTAGACCTTCATATCTCAAATTATTAGACACTGTTCATCACCAGAGTCTGAGGCTTGCTCTTGGAGCTTTTAAGATCACACCCACAGCAAGCCTCTATGTAGAGACTAACAAACCATCACTATAAAGCTATCGAAATAAATTGGCTTTTCAATACATCATTCACCAAAAATCATATCCTTCTTTTTCACTTAAATTTCATCCAAAATATAAAACCTTGTTTGAAAACAATACAAAAACCATTCCACCATTCGGTATTTGGATTTCAGCTCTTTTACAAAACACAAAATATTGATATCGACCAAATTCAGTCACTTGGAAGGATAGAAATTCTGCCCTGTCTCTTGAATTCACTTCAAGTTGACTTTTCTCTTCATGAAATGGTTAAGTCAGACACTGACAGTTGCACCTTTTGTTCTTCCTTCTCGAAATTGCTGTTAAAATATAAAAAAAAATTCTGCATTATTGGATGGCAGCTACCGAACAATGCCTCAATATTCTTGGCGGAAGCACGAGCTATGTATTTCGCCCTTGAACGTATTCAAACAAAATATTCTCATTCATAATACCTTAATACTATATCATGAACTTGCTTTTAACTTTCATATTGCTTTTTGCTGGTTAATTTCCTGGACACATGAGAATACCAGACAACAAAAAGTAGATCATACCGCAAAGGCTTAATTGCTGTCGTCTGTTGTTTTTAAACTTTGTTTTACTTATTTTAAACCATATATCAAACAATTTTTAACAGCTCAGTAACAGGAGGATTGGAATTGATATACTGATAATAAATTGCACTCCGTAAAACCAATCATGGGTGAGTGGTCTCCATGCTATAGAGACAACCATTGAGACAAAGTTGTCCTTGTCCATATTCGGATGGGTCATACATACCTTACACATTCATATATATTGAAATGCAAAGGTAATCCTTAGTGCATAGGATGAGCCATTCACCTTTAAACATTTTTTGTTGGATGGCATTGACATTCTGTCTACTTCAAAACCTTTTTTATCTTAATGCTACAAGTCTAAAGACCCTTTTTGAAACTGTTGAGATTTGTAAAATTCTAGGTTATCTGAAAGATGTTTGTCTATATTTTAAGATATGACTGCCATTTTAATCTTTTGTGATAATATAACCATTTCAGATTTTGTGTTTTTTCCTTTTTTATCGGTGTATCTCCTGTTGACCTTATGACCTTTTATTTGTTGACGGGTCATTAAGATTGTAATAATAATATCGGTAGACAAAACAGAACTGTCTTCTGTGTTGGTCAGGATGAAACAACATTTTATGGTGTGAAATCTACTATCATGGTGTTTCACCTTGTTTTAAATTTTCAAAAATACTAATTTATGATGCTTAATTCTGCCTCATAAGAGTCTTGGAAAAGTCTTGTTGTCGTGGATAAAATGTCCTTGTATGTTGTTGATGAAAATGTGTAATTTAACAGGCATTCAGAAGAGAAAATCGTGAATTAGCAGAAAAAGAGAGTTCAAAGACAAACCAGAAGTTGCTTCAAAATTTGATGAAGAGCCAAGCTATTAAGGAAGTTCTTGGCGATGATGCAGGTCCATCAAAAAGTCAATTGTCAACATCCACAAAGTCAAGAGATATGTTTGAGTTACCTCCCCTTCCTGCTGAATTCTTAAGGTAAAGATATGGATTTTTCTCATCAAACATACCATACCTGTCAACTTTTCTAAATTCTCCAGTATTGTACCAGTATCTGGTTCTGTTTGGAATGGACATTATTATGTTTAAATAGGTTTCCTTTGAGGGGAATGAAAAGTAAAGAAGGCTTGTATAAACCAATGAATATTGTACTATGATGGTCATCAAACGTTTGTTTGAACCTTTTGTGTTTGACTTACTAAATAGAAAGGCAAACTTGGCTTTTCTTTTTGCAGGATGCAGGAAGAGAACAGTAGTTGGGAAGAACGTGTCGCTGCACAGGAAGTCATGGCTGTAAGTAACATTAACTACAATGATGTTAGATTTAACAGTTAAAAAATGGCAGATAAAGATATCCTAGTGACTTAATTGTGTACTGTAAAACTGATGCCAGGATTTGAAGATTTCTTTATGAACAACAAAAACAAAAGATATTTACTCTATATATTAATGCAAACTTTCTGAATCATGCAAGATCAATACAAAGCGTTTAGAAACCTGAGAGCAACTAGCAAGGCTGAAAACTAACGACAAACAAAGACAATGCCCTGTTTGGGACATTGAAAAACATGTTGAATTTTATATGATTTAATTTTGAAACACTGACAAGTTCAACTGTTAAGAAGTTGGCAGGTTTCATTTTATTCTCCTTTACATCATATATCAGACCTTTACATCAGACCTTTACATCAGATATCCTTAACATCAGACCTTAAAATCAGACCTTTACATCAGACTTTTACATCAGATATCCTTTAAATCAGACCTTTAAATCAGACCTTTACGTCAGATATCTTTTACATCAGATATCCTTTACACCAGATATCCTTTACATCAGATATCCTTTACACCAGATATCCTTTAAATCAGGCCTTTACTTCAGACCTTTACATCAGATATCCTTTACATCAGACCTTTACATAAGACCTTAAAATCAGACCTTTACATCAGATATCCTTTAAATCAGACCTTTAAATCAGAACTTTACATCAGATATCTTTTACATCAGACCTTTACGTCAGATATCCTTTACATCAGATATCCTTTACACCAGATATCCTTTAAATCAGGCCTTTACATCAGACCTTTACATCAGATATCCTTTACATCAGACCTTTAACTCAGACCTTAAAATCAGGCCTTTATGTCAGACCTTTACATCAGATATCTTTTACATCAGACCTTTACGTCAGATATCCTTTACGTCAGATATCCTTTACATCAGATATCCTTTACACCAGATATCCTTTAAATCAGGCCTTTACATCAGACCTTTACAACAGATATCCTTTACATCAGACCTTTAAAGCAGACCTTAAAATCAGGCCTTTATATCAGACCTTTACGTCAGATATCCTTTACGTCAGATATCCTTTACATCAGATATCCTTTACACCAGATATCCTTTAAATCAGGCCTTTACATCAGATATCCTTTACATCAGACCTTTAAATCAGACTTTAAAATCAGGCCTTTATATCATACCTTTACGTCAGATATCCTTTACGTCAGATATCCTTTACATCAGATATCCTTTACACCAGATATCCTTTAAATCAGGCCTTTACATCAGACCTTTACATCAGATATCCTTTACATCAGACCTTTAAATCAGACCTTAAAATCAGGCCTTTATATCAGACCTTTACATCAGACCTTTACATCAGATATCCTTTACATCAGACCTTTAAATCAGACCTTAAAATCAGGCCTTTATATCAGACCTTTACATCAGATATCCTTTACATCAGACTTTTACATCAGATATCCTTTATATCAGTCCTTTACAGAAGATATCCTTTACATCAGACCTTGACATCAGATATCCTTTACATCAGACCTTGACATCAGATATCCTTTACATCAGACCTTGACATCAGATATCCTTTACATCAGACCTTTACATCAGATACCCTTTACATCAGACCTTTAAATCAGACCTTAAAATCAGGCCTTCACATCAGATATCCTTTATATCAGACCTTTATATCAGAACTTTACAGAAGATATCCTTTACATCAGACCTTGACATCAGATATCCTTTACATCAGACCTTGACATCAGATATCTTTTACATCAGACCTTGACATCAGATATCATTTTCATCAGACCTTGACATCAGATACCCTTTACATCAGACCTTAACATCAGACCTTTACATCAGATATCCTTTAAAACAGATATCCTTCACATCAGATACCCTTTACATCAGATATCCTTTACATAAGATATCCTTTACATCAGACCTTTGGAGAAGATATCCTTTACATCAGATATCCTTTATATCAGACCTTTACAGAAGATATCCTTTACATCAGATATCCTTTATATCAGACCTTTACAGAAGATATCCTTTACATCAGACCTGTACATCCGACCTTGACAAAATATATCCTTTACATCAGATATCCTTTACATCAGACCTTTACATCAGGTATCCGTTATGAAGCCCAACAATGTTTGTAAAAAAAGAATGAACTTGACCCATATTCACGGTCACAGAGGTCAAATGTGTTAAAACCTTTCAACAACTTCTTCCAAAATACCGGAAGGCCCAGATTCATTATATTAGGCTACTTTGTTCCTCTTATGGTGTCCTACAAAGTTTGTTAGAAGAAATGACCTTGACCTATCTTCAAGGTCACAGGGGTCAAAGGTGTTTAAACCTTTAAACAACTTCTTCTGAGATACCGAAAAATCGTAGAATCATTATATTTGGCAAGTATGTTCCTTTTATCAGGCCGAAGAAAGTTTGCAAAAAGAAATGACCTTGACCCATATTCAAGGTCACAGCGGTCTAATGCATTAAACCTTTGAACAATATCTGCTTAACCAAGAGGCCTGAAATCATAATATTTGGCTAAAAGGTTCCCTTTATAGAACCCACATAGTGTGTGTAAAACTAGCTTAACCCATAAAAGTATTGGGGTTAAAATTTGGTAAAATCATTAACAACTTCTGATTGACCAAAGGCTATCATATGTGGCCAGTAAAAGTTTCACAAAGGCTTATATACAAATATGTAGAACCTTCTAATGACTTATTAAAGGAATATATCTGACTGGGAATTTTCTTAGCATAATTTGGAATGAATTATAAAGACCTTTCACAGTGATGTCACACTGTTCCAAAAAAAGATTAGGCAAAGCCCCCTGGAGGTCTGAGAGGCTTGAGCTAAGTAATGTGAAAAACTACATGTTAGCCAATTACTTATGTTCTATTCACAGCATTAAAATACAGAAAACATGATTGAAAAGAGAATTGCAAGAGCTTCATTTTGACTTAAATTTCTTCAGAAATAAATAAGAAATTCTAAGTTGATCCCATTTGCTATGCAGTGTTCATAGGCCTACAGTAAACTGTTATCAGTATATCTCTGTTATCAGTATATCTCCAGTAACCGGGGCTTGCTGACCATGGAGACATCACTAATGATATGCACGAAACATTTTATTATTGTTTTTGAGTTAGGATTATCGTTTATAATTACATGTACCTTAATTTTTCCTGTCTTTATATTTAATAAATGTTTACTTGTGCAAGTCTCAAATATGTTGTATCTGTGTTTGTAAACAATGATCTAAAGGGCAAGTAAGCTTCTGCTGTCCTGGGTCATCCGTCCAGCTATAACTAAGAGTTTTTCTGCTGTATTGTTTGGCCATCTTCTTTAAAAAGAAAGCTATCAATTATATTTAACTGGAAACATCAAAAGAAAGTCTCTATTCAACATTGCACAGATGAGGGGGGCTGACTACTAAGGGACAGAACCTATGTGGAGTAATTTGTCATATTGCTTTAAGCATCTACTCTAGAACATATGCACAGATATAGTACTGTCGGTCATAAAGATCCAGGTGAGCGATACAGGCCCTCTGGGCCTCTTGTTAAATCGTGAGAATGTTATTTTATTGCAATCTTCCAATCATGTGAAAAAAGGAGTACAGTCTCATATTGGTATGCTACATTTTAGCTCACCTAGCCTGAAGGGTCACAGGGGTCAAATGTGTTAAAACATTTGAAAAAGTTCTTCTCAGGAACTAATAGGCCTAGAAGTAGGATATTTGGCTGGTATGTTCCTAGTAAGAATCATGTTAAAGTTTACGAAAAGAAATGACGGTGACTAACATTTAAGGTCACAGAGGGTGAAATTTGTTAAAACATTTAAATGACTAAAAGGCCTAGAGGCATGATGTTTTGCTGGTATGCTGCTATGATGAATTCCAACAAATTTTATGAAAAGAAATGATTTTGACCTATCTTCAAGGTCACAGGGCGTCAAATTTTGTTAAAACTTTTAAACGACTTCTTCTCATGAACTAAAAGGCCTTCAGGAATGATATTTGGCTGGTAGGCTCCAAGGATGAAGCCTGACAAAGTTTGCAAAAAGAAAATACCTTGACTTATATTCAAGGCCACAGGGATCAAATTTGTTGAAACATTTAAATGATTGGGCCTCTTGTTGTTTTTTTTCCATCCACATGTAAGCCACACTGGTATATAGGAAAAAGTTGTGGCATATCATCCGAAAAATATGGCATATCAATGAGAAATTGTTAATGTTGAATTTAAGTTTGAAAAGTGCCACTTTTCTATTAAGTCATTTCTTGGTGAATCTGAAATCGCTTGTTTGCTTTACAGGAAGATGAATTGGATGATATAGATGTTGACTCCCCTGACTTCTGTAGCCTGCCATCTGAGTTGAAGCATGAGATTCTCACAACTATGAAGGAACAACGGAAGTACAACTTATCTGCAAAAATGGACCTACCAGAGGTATTCAGCCCTACCTCTTAGAGATATTTAGCCCTACTGCTTAGAGGTATTTAGACCTACCTCTTAGAGATATTTAGACCTACCTCTTAGAGATATTTAGCCCTACTGCTTAGAGGTATTAAGACCTACGTCTTAGAGATATTTAGACCTACCTCTTAGAGATATTAAGACCTACTGCTTAGAGATATTTCGACCTACGTCTTAGAGATATTTCGACCTACCTCTTAGAGATATTAAGACCTATCGCTTAGAGATATTTAGACCTACTGCTTAGAGGTATTAAGACCTACGTCTTAGAGATATTTAGACCTGCCTCTTAGAGATATTAAGACCTACGTCTTAGAGATATTTCGACCTACCTCTTAGAGATATTTCGACCTACCTCTTAGAGATATTTAGACCTACTGCTTAGAGATATTCAGACCTACTGCTTAGAGATATTTAGACCTTAGAGATATTAAGACCTACGTCTTAGAGATATTTCGACCTACCTCTTAGAGATATTTCGACCTACCTCTTAGAGATATTTAGACCTACTGCTTAGAGATATTTAGACCTACTGCTTAGAGATATTTAGACCTACCTCTTAGAGATATTTAGACCTACCTCTTAGAGATATTAACACCTACGTCTTAGAGATATTTAGACCTACCTCTTAGAGATATTAAGACCTACTGCTTAGAGATATTAAGACCTACTGCTTAGAGGTATTAAGACCTACGTCTTAGAGATATTTCGACCTACCTCTTAGAGATATTAAGACCTATCGCTTAGAGATATTTAGACCTACTGCTTAGAGGTATTAAGACCTACGTCTTAGAGATATTTAGACCTGCCTCTTAGAGATATTAAGACCTACTGCTTAGAGGTATTAAGACCTACGTCTTAGAGATATTTCGACCTACCTCTTAGAGATATTAAGACCTACTGCTTAGAGATATTTAGACCTACCTCTTAGAGATATTTAGACCTACCTCTTAGAGATATTTAGCCCTTCCTCTTAGAGATATTAAGCCCTACCTCTTAGAGATATCAAGCCCTTCCTCTTAGAAGTATTTAGACCTACCTCTTAGAGATATTTAGACCTACCTCTTAGAGATTTTAAGCCCTTCCTCTTAGAGATATTAAGCCCTACCTCTTAGAGATATTTAGACCTACCTCTTAGAGATATTAAGCCCTACCTCTTAGAGATATTTAAACCTACCAGAGAGCTAAAGAGAAATTCTCTCTAGCCGAGTGGTATATTGCGGCTAGTATTTTACCAAGGTTACAGTAATGCCATTGTTATAGACTTGTGTACTCTTAATTGATATTATTTGAATACTTAAAAAAAAAAATGAAATTGTTATATTAACATGCCTAAAATCTCTCCTTTAGGCTTTGGTGATGTGTACAAAGAGAGAAAAGTGAAATTGGAATATCCAGGCTCCTTTAAGTAAACCTTAATCTTTTCAACAAGGAATTAGGAACCCAAGGTGACCCAGATACAGTTGTAGCTATCTTTTTCCTCTTTTTTTTGCAGGATTCACTCGATTTTTCCAGTTATCAGATGGCAAAAATACTTAAACAGAATAAACTGGCTTCAAAAATTGAACAAGTACGTAAAGAAATGAATGCTCCATCTAGGTCAGAGATAAGTTTGACACTTGGGGATGATTATTATAGTGACTCGGTGATACAATCTCAACGAGTTATCTCTGAAGACAAGTCCCACTTTGTTTTGATTAAAGGGACTGGCAAGCAAAGAAGAGAGGAGGAATTAGCCAAAGCAAATGAATATGAAGAGGAGTTATTAAAGGCAGAACTTGCAACAGCACAGGAAGAAGATAACAAGATGAAACAAATAATGGATAACATTTCAAATGAAAGCGACAAGGAAATTGGAAATAATAGAGATATGGAAGTGGTATCCAAGAAAAGTTGTGTTGTAGACATTACTGAGAACATGACTCATGTTGTAGAAATTACCGAGAACGTGGTAAATGCTCAACAAGTTTTAACAGATGACCACACAAGTACTGGACCCTATGTTGACCAGCAGTGCAGAAGTAATATTCTTAGTGAAGTATTGAACATGAAAAACAAATTACTCCAAAAGATTTCTGATGATGATGTTTCAGATTCACGTGATATTGATAGACCTGCCATTGTAGATAGGTCGCAACCAAAAGATCCATTTAAATTGTCTCAATCTGCAGAACACTCCAGTGATCCATCTTCTACAAATGTGACACATATCAAAAGCAGCTTACAACCTTCATCAAATCAAAAAGAATCAGTTTGTCAGGTAGAAAATGACATGATACCGATGAAAACCTCCAATCTGTCCAACGGTCAAGAATCCAGACCATCCGCTAGCAAGGACAACTGTGGTGTCCCAATTTTGATTTCAAGTGATGATGATGTAGTAGTAAAGAAACCAAGATTGAATTTTGATAGTACAATCCATTACCAGCAGCAGCAGCAAGGACTTCACAAGGTAGAGGCTGCTGTTGCATGTGATGATAGCAGATCTGAAGGTACAGTCTTCTATCATTAACACTTTCTGTTTCCCAAACCTCCTACATGTTACTTATATCAGAAATGGATCAGCATGCTAATAGTATCATCCAGATTTTAAAAAATGTAGTCCCTGTGGGCTGTATGCTGGAAATTATATGGAAGGCTATTCAAATTGACCTTTGTCTGTGGTAAGGAATCCCAAGTTATGCATTGTTGATTTTTCGGAAAATAAGCTATTTAAATGGCCAAGAGGCAGCCATTATGGATTTTGTCATAACATGATTTTTTGCCATTCTGGATGAATACTTAATGGATTATTTTCAAATTTCATATATATGTTCCCCTTGGTTCCAAGTTAAGCATTATCCATTTGGGAGTTGGGACTGATCAGAAAACTGACTTAAACACTTACAGTTAATGATTATTTGTGGAGAATTCCTGGATAGATCATTCTAGAATGTAATATGTAGGTTCCCTTAGTCTCTGACTGTGCTCATTGTCATTTTTGAACTGATTAGAAATAATGCCTTACAAGTGGCCATTTTTTATTTTGAGGATTAAACTTTATTATCTCTTTCTGGCTAATCACTGGATTGATCGTTTCCAAATTCCATTTGTAGGATTTTTTCAGTCCATAGTTGTGCTCTATCCACTTTGGGACTTATTGGGTAAAAATAATATGGCCACCGATGGCCGTCTTGAATGTTGACATTTAGAGTACTAGAAGGATCATTATCTGCATAGGTAGGTTTCCCTTTGTGCCTTATTGCCTGTGTTCAGTTTTCAGAACAATAAGAGGATAGTAGAGTAAAGAATGGAAAGATTGAACAAATAAGGACCTAATGAGGATTATACATTGGAGGGTGTCAAGATTCCCTAGAATCTTTAAGTAATTAACATGTCCCATATCTTCTGATTATTTTATTTCAAGGTCATTTACTGATATTTACTATTTATAGATGAAGGATTCATAGAGATTTCCATAGATACAACTAAAAGGAATGTACCTGATGACCTGTTCCCTGCCTCAATATTTAGTGGTGGAGACAATGAGGATACAGTGCCCTTAACACTTCCTTCAGAGGAACAGATAATTGCCTCAACTTCAGCACAAAAAGTGGTCACTAATGAGGAACCTGTTGGTACTATAACAGCAGATGAGCAACTGATGGACATGACTGCTGATCAATTTCAAGAACCAAATCCCTTTCAGGATTTTAAAGAGGTATAGCTTGTAACAATGATTTATTGGAAATATTAATTAAATTTTAAGGCGTACCCAGGTGTGAAATTTCTCGTGTGTAGTGGTGGTGGTAGGAAAGGTGTGGGGTGATTGTCAAGATCAAACATTTGTCAGTTCTGATCTGCATTAGTACTGGTTTTAACTCTCTTGGGACATGTTTTTACAGGACGATTTGCTGGAGTACAAGGAAGATCTTGAATTGGAAAGCATAAATTTGCAGCAGGAACGTGGCAAACAAGATCGGCTGGCGACAAGCATCACTGATCAGATGTACCTAGAGGCACAGGTATGCAAATGTCTTTTGTTATTCCACTCACCAGAGACTGAATAATTTGAAAAAGATTGTCAGCACTCTACCAGCTTCATTCCTTGAGAGATTTCGATCAAACATACAGCATGTGTAGAGTATCATATCATCTCTGACAAGTTTGAGTTTCAAGGTTGTAGAGAAAGTCTTTGTCAGGGTCCTTGTAGCCATTAATTCATTTCTTTAGGGATTTTGATTACCATTAATACTTTTTAAAATCTATGGTCAATCCATTTGCTGATATTTAAATATCTATCCTACAGTATTTACAACACTAGATATATCTGTTATAGATTATTTCTATTCCTTCGTATTTTGAAATTTTGTCACCAGGAGCTGCTTCAGATGTTTGGCGTACCTTATGTTGTCAGCCCAATGGAGGCCGAGGCACAGTGTGCCTTCATGGATCAAACAGATCAGACACAGGGATCTATCACTGATGACAGCGACATCTGGTTGTTTGGTGGGACCCGTGTTTACAAAAACTTCTTCAATCAAAACAAACATGTGGAATTTTTCCAGAGGACAAGTATTGACTATCAATTAGGTATAATGTTTAAAGCTGACAACGCAAATTTAAAAAATCTGTGTTGAATTAGAAAAAAAAAGGATATATGTATTTAGGTCATCTGACCTAAATGGTCAGGATGATCTATATTCATCGTGTTTCGTCCATTTCCATGCACCATCCGTCAACTTTTCCATTCAAATGATTCCTTCACAATAACCAGAGGGCTTAGGGTACTGATATTATTATACCTGTAACATGATGGGATACAGGGCTACCAAGTTTGTTAATATGAATGACAGTGACAGACTTTCAAGGTCACAGGGGTCAAATCTGTTGAAATGTTTAAACATCTTCTTCTCAATAACCAAAAGTTAAAAAGGTGCGGATATTGGGCCTGTAACATGATGGGATGAAGAGCTACTGAGTTTGTTAGCATAAATGATAAATGACCTTGACCTACTTTACAGGTCAAATATGTCAAAATCTAAAAACAACATCTTCTCTATAAGAAAATCGTGCATGGTACTGATATTGGGCCCTTAGCATGCTTGGAGTTGCCTGGAACCACTTTCAATATTACAGAGGTAAAATATATTTATATCTTCAACATCTTCTGCTCAATAACCAAAAGGCCCAGGGTGATAATATTGATAGCATGATGGGATTTAAGGGCTACCAAGGTCCAAGGTGTCAAATATGTCAAAATATTTAACATCTTCTCAATAAGGAAATGGTCCATGTTCTGATATTGAGCCTTTGGCATGCTGGAATAAAGGGCTACCAAGTTTTTTTTTTTTAATATAAATGACCTTGACCCATTTTTAAAGGTCGCAGGGGTCAAGTATGTTGAAATTGGTAAGCAACTTCTTCTCAACAACCAAAAGGCCAAGAGTATTGATATTGGGCCTATAATATGTTTTTTCTTCAAGCAATATGTTCAGGGTAATGGTATTTGTGTAGTGCATGTATAAAAAATATTATTTCAAGTTTGCAGAAAATGTCTTTATTGTCTTCTGTGTAAGCTGTAGTATAGGTGAGCTATTTATTTTAGGCCTATTTGGCCTCTTTCATATATAGTTCTTTGTAGTCAGATGATCCTTATGGCCCATTGACCTCTAGTTTAGAATGTTTCTGAGACACCAAGACAAATGAATAACTACATCAAACCCTACCTTGTTTGTCCAGATTACAAACATATATTCTTGTGTTGTAAGCTTTCAGAAAAAAAGTTCACTTGTCAAATTTTACACAATCTACAGCAATTCACAACTTTACACAGGTTTTACTAGTCAAGCATTTATGTGACTAAGATACACATAATAGTTGTTTGTTATACAGCATTTTTTTGAGTTTTTACCCTACCATCATGACATGGTAGGCTATTCAAATGGATCTGTCTCAAATTTTCATATGTAGATTTACTTTTGTCCCTAGTTGTGCGTATTTGATTTTGGGACTGATCAGGAAAAGAAAATGGCCGACAGGTGGCCATCTCAGATTTTGACTTTGAAAGTTTGTTATTGCTATATCTTGAAAAATACTGTCTAGATCTTTCCCGAAATTTCATGTATAGGTTCCTCTTGGTCACAAGTTATGGCGTATACCTTGGATTTGGCCTAATAAATTGTTATCCCTATCTCTTAAGAAGTGCAGAATGGATATCTCAGATTTCATACGAATGTTCCCTTTGGTGTCTCCTTGTGCTCATTAATTGTGGGACTGATTAGAAGAAGCAAAATGGCTTCCAAACTGCTGTATTGGATTTGTCAGGTAAAGATTATCATTGTTTGAATATATTTTTAGAGAGCTGAGAAGTACTTATTATCTTTACACAACTTGTCTGTACTCGTTTCCAAACAAGGCCACTTAGATACGACAGGTTGCAAGTCTTTTATTCCATTGAATGTCTGTACTCGTTTCCAAACAAGGCTACTTAGATACATTCACTGGAAGATATGGGGACAGAATGGTCATGTGACCCAGTATATTATTTTAATTAATTAATGTTGGCATCCTTATCATAGGGGGCATCTCCGATGCAGTTGGAAAATGGAAACCTTTTTTTTATTTCAAAATGAATTCTTTTTTAACGTGCATTTTCAGCTGTCTGGTTTCTGATGCAAAGTACACAATGTCTTTTGTAATAATACAACTCACCAAATAACATGTGCTCCTATTCACAAACGTTATCTGCTGAATTTTCATTGTTATTTCAAAAAACTGGCGCTTTCATGAAAACCTGATTTCATGGATAGATATAATTGAGTAAAATGTATAGCTTAACATATTCACTTGTGCTTATTTTAGCAGTTTGTGTGAACATATGAATTGATGGACTAAGAGTTTTCTCATAATTAACAATCAATCCCACACATAAATGATTGACTTCTTGTCCAGCTGGATAATATGCAGATTATACTTTCACAAGTCTACTTAATTGTGGTTATATCTTATATCAATCTCCTTTTTCCATGCATTCCTTTAAGCTAGTGAAACACTTGCTGTAGAACATACCAGGACATATTTTGCACATGTATTAATCTGCAGTATGCACTGATAATGATTTTACAAGAACTGTAATTCAAACTCTTAACATAATGTAAAATATGTAAAATTATAGTAAAATGGTAGCTGTGTTTCAGAACTGGTAGGAAATAATGTAAATACAAATACCATACACTGGTGGGTTGGTTGGTTACAAGTTTTCTGCCTCCTGTTATTGTGTATCATCTCACTGATAAATATTAGCATAAAAACTTGTATGCCATGATGCATTGAATTTCCTATGATGATACATACTACAAAGCATGTCTACCAACCTTTACATCTCTATGTTCCAGGTTTGTGCCGGGAGAAGATGATAAATATCGCTCTATTGTGTGGAAGTGATTACACACTGGGAATACAGAAGGTTGGCCCTGTGTCTGCCCTGGAGATCATGGCAGAGTTTCCAGGGGATGGTGTCGAAGGGCTAATCAAATTCAAGTAAGTATTTCTGGTGACATTTGAAATATTTTCTGATGACTTCTGTTTTTGCTTGTGTTGTTTATGTTAGACCGGGGTAAAAGACATCACATAGAATAGAAGTACTTATAACACAACCAGTAGAAGATTAGAGTGTGACATTTTGATGGCTACATGGTCACCTTATAGTTCTTATCACACAACCAGTAGAAGATTAGGGTGTGACATTTTGATGACTATATGGTCACCTTCATCTTATAACACAACCAGTACAACCAATAGCAGGTTAGAGTGTGACGTTTCGATGACTACATGGTCACCTTCATCTTATAACACAACCAGTACAACCAATAGAAGGTTAGAGTGTGACGTTTCGATGACTACACAGCCACCTTATAGTTCTTATAACACAACCAGTAGAAGATTAGAGTGTGACGTTTCGATGACTACACGGTCACCTTATAGTTCTTATAACACAACTAGTAGAAGATTAGGGTGTGACGTTTCGATGACTACATGGTCACCTTCATCTTATAACACAACCAGTAGAAGATTAAAGTGTGACATTTCGATAACTACATGGTCACCTTATAGTTCTTAAAACACAACCAGTAGAAGATTAGAGTGTGACGTTTTGATGACTACACGGTCACCTTATAGTTCTTAAAACACAACCAGTAGAAGATTAGAGTGTGACGTTTTGATGACTACATGGTCACCTTATAGTTCTTATAACACAACCAGTAGAAGATCAAAGTGTGACGTTTTGATGACTACACGGTCACCTTATAGTTCTTATAACACAACCAGTAGAAGATTAAAGTGTGACGTTTTGATGACTACATGGTCACCTTATAGTTCTTATAACACAACCAGTAGAAGATTAGGGTGTGACGTTTGGATGACTACATGGTCACCTTCATCTTATAACACAACCAGTACAACCAATAGAAGGTTAGAGTGTGACGTTTCGATGACTACATGGTCACCTTCATCTTATAACACAACCAGTAGAAGATTAGGGTGTGACGTTTGGATGACTACATGGTCACCTTCATCTTATAACACAACCAGTACAACCAATAGAAGGTTAGAGTGTGACGTTTTGATGACTACATGGTCACCTTCATCTTATAACACAACCAGTAGAAGATTAAAGTGTGACATTTCGATAACTACATGGTCACCTTATAGTTCTTATAACACAACCAGTAGAAGATTAAAGTGTGACGTTTTGATGACTACACGGTCACCTTCATCTTATAACACAACCAGTACAACCAATAGAAGGTTAGAGTGTGACGTTTCGATGACTACACAGTCATCTTATAGTTCTTAAAACACAACCAGTAGAAGATTAGAGTGTGACGTTTTGATGACTACATGGTCACCTTTATCAGACAAATGACCAGTGTGGAGCGTGCTAGCACTGATATACAAAGTGTATGAGATGGTAAAGAAACAACAAACTTTTTTGGTTGTACTATAATCCTATGTACACTATGGTCAAAAATAGTGTGACGAGATGGTTAATCAATTATGCTATATTAATAATAAATAATAATTTGGCTATGCTTTGTTTAACACTTAGTCATAGATGTGCGGGAATCAGCCCCCTTTCTTTTTAATTTTCCCAGTCAGTGATATGATTTTGCTGTGTGGAATGATCTGTAAGTGCAGATTTATTGATCAGGAACTGTTTAATATTTTCGCTTTGATCTAGTGAATTTTTTGCCTTTTTGGGATTCCATGTCTTTCTGGTGTTGATTGAGTCAGACCCCGAATCTCCTTGTCCACACATATCATTTTGATGTGACTGAGTTGGTTGTCCACACATATCATTTTGATATGACTGAGTTGGTTGTCCACACATATCATTTTGATGTGACTGAGTTGGTTGTCCACACATATCATTTTGATGTGACTGAGTTGGTTGTCCACACATATCATTTTTATGTGATTGAGTTAGTTGTACCATTTCAGTGTACAGTCTATGACATATAATATATGATGATACTATAGAATTGGCATTTGGAAGACATTATGCTGTGACCTTTACGGTATTGAAAAGCTAGAAATGTGGGAACAAAAATCAGGAAATAGATAAATGAGAGATGAAATGAAAATACTGTTTTCTCCTCTTCATCAGTTGTTCTGAAAATTAGTGTTCACAAAATCTATGTCAAATTTATGTAATAAATGAAGTAAGTTTTCTATGCCTATAATTGACATAAACACAATATGCACAAATCAATTTTGGATATTTCATGAGGAACATATACATAGATTGTTGCCTTATCATAAATTACTTAAAATGTGTCCTGCACCTAACAAACAGGTGCTCTTTTTGAACTTGTTGCCAAGCTGCTGATTGTGTATGACACCCTGGTATTGTTTCAGGTCTTGGTGGGACAAAGCAAGGCATAAACAAAGCAAGGACACAAAAATCAGAAACAAACTGAAGCAGCTGGATATCCACGAAGGTGACTTCCAGTTGGTTAAGCTCCATTTATTTTCTATTTTTTGCCTGACCCATTTGGAAACAGATTTCCTAGAAAAAAAAAGAAAAAATAATTTCAATTTGCATGAAAACATTGTTGATTTTTTGTCATTATGATAAATGAATATGTTTGTTGTAGTATGGGCAAAGACAAAATGATTTATAATCACTATCAAACATGTGATTGTTGTGTTGGGTAACTTTTAGGTAAAGGCTTCTGGTGTGTTTGAGTAGAACTCAATTGTATCAAGCTATACAATCTTTTGACTAATTCATTGACTTTCATGTTGCTGTTTAAAAAGAAACGCCAGGGACTTGTGTTATGTGTTGTGCCTGTTTGTCCCTCTCTGGCCAGGTACTTGTGTTTTGTGTTGTGCCTGTCTGTCCATCCCTGGCCAGGGACTTGTGTTATGTGTTGTGCCTGTTTGTCCCTCTCTGGCCAGGGACAAGTGTTTTGTGTTGTGCCTGTCTGTCTGTCCATCCCTCTCCAGGTACTTGTGTTTTGTGTTGTGCCTGTCTGTCCATCCCTGGCCAGGGACTTGTGTTTTGTGTTGTGCCTGTTTGTCTCTCTCTGGCCAGGTACTTGTGTTTTGTGTTGTGCCTGTTTGTCTCTCTCTGGCCAGGTACTTGTGTTTTGTGTTGTGCCTGTCTGTCCCTCCCTTGCCAGGGACTTGAGTTTTGTGTTGTGCCTGTCTGTCCATCCCTCGCAAGGTACTTGTGTTTTGTGTTGTGCCTGTCTGTCCATCCCTGGCCAGGGACATGTGTTTTGTGTTGTTCCTGTCTGTCCCTCTCTGGCCAGGGACTTGTGTTTTGTGTTGTTCCTGTCTGTCCATCCCTGGCCAGGGACTTGAGTTTTGTGTTGTGCCTGTCTGTCCATCCCTCGCCAGGGACTTGAGTTTTGTGTTGTGCCTGTCTGTCCCTCCCTCGCCAGGGACTTGTGTTTTGTGTTGTGCCTGTTTGTCCCTCCCTCGCCAGGGACTTGAGTTTTGTGTTGTGCCTGTCTGTCCCTCCCTCGCCAGGTACTTGAGATTTGTGTTGTGCCTGTCTGTCCCTCCTTCACCAGGGACTTGTGTTTTGTGTTGTGCCTGTCTGTCCATCCCTCGCAAGGTACTTGTGTTTTGTGTTGTGCCTGTCTGTCCATCCCTGGCCAGGGACATGTGTTTTGTGTTGTTCCTGTCTGTCCCTCTCTGGCCAGGGACTTGTGTTTTGTGTTGTTCCTGTCTGTCCATCCCTGGCCAGGGACTTGAGTTTTGTGTTGTGCCTGTCTGTCCATCCCTCGCCAGGGACTTGAGTTTTGTGTTGTGCCTGTCTGTCCCTCCCTCGCCAGGGACTTGTGTTTTGTGTTGTGCCTGTTTGTCCCTCCCTCGTCAGGGACTTGAGTTTTGTGTTGTGCCTGTCTGTCCCTCCCTCGCCAGGTACTTGAGATTTGTGTTGTGCCTGTCTGTCCCTCCCTCACCAGGGACTTGTGTTTTGTGTTGTGCCTGTCTGTCCCTCCCTCGCCAGGGACTTGTGTTTTGTGTTGTGCCTGTCTGTCCATCCCTCGCCAGGGACTTGAGTTTTGTGTTGTGCCTGTCTGTCCATCCCTCGCCAGGTACTTGAGTTTTGTGTTGTGCCTGTCTGTCCTGCTATCTTTTCCAGGGCCTATATTACTAATCATGGGAACTGAGTACTTGAGATATGAGTTTGTCTTTGCAAGATTATGTGTATCATATCAAATATAGTTCATACTGACCTCCATTTAGACCTTTGATCTTGGGCCCTATTTGGGAACTTTTATACTTAGGGATATTGGTTCACCTTGGTGAGATGGTGTGTTGTTTATCAAAAGTAGGTCAAACTGACCTACATTTTGACCTTTGACCATAGACCCTATATTTCATACTACTAATCACAGAAATTTATACGTCAGATGTCAGTTTACCTTTGTGAGGCAGTGTGTTGCTTATTGAAAGAAGGTCACTCTGACCTACACTTTGACCTTTATCAACTTAGGTGAAAAAAATTGTATGGGCCCTATCTCCTTCATATCTATTAATGGGAACTTCATACTCTGAATATGGATTCATCTTGGTGAGACCGTTTAAAAAAAAGTAAAAGAAACTTGTTTGAGCCATACCTTCTACACAACTACTCTAATGAACTTAATAGGAACATGTGTCTATGGGGGACTATTCACCAAATTATCTTGTTTATTTTGAAAATAATTACACTGGTTCATTTGTACTGTTTAATGCATTAAATGTTAATGAAGTGTCAGAAGATTTGGTCTATGAACAGATCATTAACCGATACTTGTCCCTCACACGCTTGCTACAGGAAATGTGGCTCATGTGGTTTTGACAATGTTGGTCAGAATTGGCTGTTAGTTTGTTGTATAAGTGATATCAAGAAAGCAGGTAGCCTTGGAAGAAGTTGGTTGACAGTGTATATCTAATTGTTTTAGCATTTTGGGTATATTATAGAGGATTGTAAAGATCTTTAAATAAATTGTTCCAGATGTAATATATCTCTGGAATTCATTTTTTTTTTAATTCATTTTTGCATATCTATGACTGTGTTTATATGTCTGCTTCTAAAAAATTCATCAGCATCATCAATGATAAATAAAAATTGGTTCAGAAAATTGGAACTTAACATGCTATGTTGGAAATGTCACTTTATTTGCTTGTTTGAATGTAAGTGAATCTGTGATGTTGCCATTTATTAGAATTGTATTCATCGTTCATCTGCAATATGGATATTGTTGTTAGTGAGAAAGTCTTGACAGATCCTTGCTACATGAGGCTGAGCATTATCCTGCTGGAATGTGAAGTTTTTTTTGCTACAAAATTGGACAACATGGGGTAGGAGGATCTAATCTCTATACCTAGGGGCAGTTAAATTACCTGCTACCACAAACAGTGGAAATTACATTCAATGTGAGATTCCTCCCCACAATATAACTGATCCACCCCAGACCTATTTTCTAGTACGCAGCAGTCAGCAAAACATTCTCCACAACGTTGAACGTCTGCTCAAACAGGGTGAACTGGGACTCATAAGTAAACAAGACCCATCTCCACTGCCTTAGTGGGAATATTTTAGAGGCATGTGCCACCACCAAAGCCATACAACGCTGGTGACAAACAGTGGTAAGGGCAGACCTACAAACAGGTGACATGCCAGCAGACCAACTTCCTGCAATTGTTTCTGTACAGTTTTTGCATAAATAGGTCGGTTTTGAGAACCTATGGTATGAAGGGCAGATTTAATGGCAGTAAGGTGCTGATTGCTCAAATGTTTCCCTTAGACGTTTAACAAGACATTCTATAGTACAAATATGGACACCGAAATGTCTGGCAACCTGTATTTACCTTTAACCTTGCATAATCATTGCAATGGCCTGACCCCTCTGAATTCCGTTAGTCATGCCATTGTTTAATGCTATCAGAAATTAATCAAAATATTGGAAAATGATGTGTCTCTATGAAGACTACCTAATGGTATGATGAGCAGTGTGTCTCAATGTCACAACACTGCTGTGCACGAGATTTTCCTGTTTCATTCTTTTCCTGAAGGACATTGTCATGCAAAAATACAATAATGCAACATTCGATACAGGACCACCTGCACTGTAAACTAGAGAGTTGCTTGACAAATTTTCATTGTTTTTGAACAACACATTCTCAAGATATTAAAAATAGTGTCACCCTGCATTTCTTTATCCCTTGAGTATAGTAGAATTTTCAGTAATCACTAGAAATTACTATTTTACTCAAATATTGAAAATTTAGAATTCTTACAATCAAATCTTATCATAACCGTAGATTCATTTTTCTAGAGCCATTGATAATCTTACTAATGGTCTATTGAATTTTTTTCATTAGATTTGTTGTGAATTTTACCATTTCATTGTAAATATCACATAATTTTAAAGATAAAAGAAGCATTTTATATGCAATATAATTGTATCAGTGGATTTAATGCCAAAATCCATCCGTTTGTCATTTTCCTGAAAAATACATGGTTTCATTGTCAGGTTTTCCCAGTGCAGCAGTTGTAGATGCTTACCTCAGTCCTAAGGTAGACGAGTCAATGGATGCCTTCACCTGGTCTAGACCTGACCTTGACCTCCTCCGAGAGTATCCTTTTTTTGATTGTAGGATCTTCACCAAGTTGAGCAGATACTGACAATGGTTTGGCTAGATAAAAGAATAGCTGCATCATACTCCTTGTTGAAAGGACTTGTTTGTACAGAAACATGACAACATGTAGAAAGGTGACAGGTAGTTCTGACAGGCTGTCATAGTTTGTGTTATCATACTCCTTGTTGAAGGGACTTGTTTGTACAGAAACATGACAACATGTAGAAAGGTGACAGGTAGTTCTGACAGGCTGTCATAGTTTGTGTTATCATACTCCTTGTTGAAGGGACTTGTTTGTACAGAAACATGACAACATGAAGAAAGGTGACATGTAGTTCTGACACACCGTCATAGTTTGTGTTATCATACTCCATGTTGACTTGTTTGTACAGAAACATGACAACATGAAGAAAGGTGATGGGTAGTTTTGACAGGCTGTCACAGTTTGTGGTGAGGTTTATTAACTCCTGGAAATTTCATTTTCAGAATTACAAGGTACGCTCTTCTTTGGTTGTACAGAAATAAACAATTTTGCCAGTGTACAGACATATACTTATGTTGGAGATACGGTTTAAGGTACAGACATGTTCAGTCTGAGAAGCCAGGTTTTAGTTTCTAAATTCAATTTGCTGTGTAATTTAATGAACTTTATTTCAAATAAAGCCTTTTTTTTCTTATCTGTAATTAGTTATGCTAGAGAGAAGTTTGGCTGGAGGAAGGAGAAAGTGGATGAGAATCTCCTACCAGTGATGAAGCGATTGAACGAAAGACAAGTTAGTAGCTTAATCATGTTTTATGTCCGGGCAAAAATATACTATTGCAAATGTAATGAAATATCAATATTCAAATGAAATTTCACTCTTCAGAAAGATCATATAATTTATAGTGGTGTAATGATAGGTTGACTTGTCAATATATTATGATAGCTGTGCTCTCGTTAGTAATAAGTCAGCAGGATATTTCAAGTCAATAACTACCGTGGTAGTTTATTTAACTATCAATTGTTAACAATAATTTCTTTAATTTAAACAAAAATGCTACTTAAAAGCATGATTTTTGAATGAGTTATTGCAAAATGGCTGCAAGTCAGACTTTCCCTGATTAGTTTCCTGCTGAGGAAACTGGAGGGGACTTTAGTGTTTGTCTCCCTTTCTCTGTCTATTTGGATGATGGTTTCCAGACGATAACTTGAGAAAAGATGGATGGATCTGAAAGAAACTTCATTTACTGTTAGGTCATGAGGTGATAGAGAGTGGGATTAAGTTAGGGGTTGAAATGTCAACTACTATGGTCACTGCTGCTAAAAATGGATGGTTTTTTTTTGTCAAATTCTGGTTTCCAGATGATAACTTCGGAAAAGATTGATAGATTTGGTAGAAAATTCATACAATGTTAGCTTATGTGGTAAGACAGAGTGAAATGATGTTTTGGGCCAAAAGGTCAACTATGAAGGTCATTGTTACTGAGATAGACTTTTATCATCAAATTTTCATTTCTAGATGGTAACTTCAGAAAGGATTGATGAATTTGGTTGGAACTTCATAACATGTTAGCGTATGAATTAATATAAAGTTGGATTGAAATTAAGGTAAAAAGGTCAACTATGATGGTCACTGTTTCTAAAAATAGACTTTTATTGTCATATTTTGGTGTCTAGATGATAACTTGTTAAAGGGATGACTGATTGTATTAAAACTTGATGCAATTGAAATTTATTAGAAAATGTGGAGGGTGGGATTGTGTGAGGGAGTTAATGTGAGAAGCAGTAGTCAACTGACCAATGTTCAAGGTCACAGTGTCAAAAGGTTAAGGTCAAATTTGACATCTTTTCATGTGTATATAATTGAATTAGGGATGACAAATTTGATTAAAACTTCATACAGTATTAAACAAAAGTGGGGGAGCATATTAAGTTTTTTCCCTGTAAGACACTGGGTTTTCGGAGAGAAGACTTTCAATTGTTAAAGGGAATCATCTGTTCTTTGCTGTCAAAGTTGCTAAGAAAATTTAAATAATGGCTGGGGACAAGTAATGCATGCAACACTAACTGTAAGCTTGTTTATGAAAGTGTCTTGGAGAGGGAGGGATTAGTATTGCATTTAGTGTATATAGAAGCTGCCAGCCTAAAATGAATTAACTGTTGAATGTGATTGGTTTCACTTACAGGCAAAGTGGAAACAAAAGCTAATGTTACTTTGTGAACATTTAATATAGCTGTAATGATTTTCCATTTAACCGTTTCAGAGGCAAGGAAAAATCGACAAATTTTTCCAACCAGAAGCATTCTTAGAATCTAAAAAAGTGCAAAGTTCTCGTGTCAAACAGGCTTTGTCAAAATTAACAAGTGCCCCAACTTCTGAACTTCTCCATACGAAGGCCAGCCAGTCTCCTATACAAAAGGCAAAAGATGCTATGGCAGAAAGAAGGAGAAAAATGAAAGGCAAAGGAATTTCTGCAGGTCAAGGGTTAAAGAGCAGAGGTAAAGGAAAGGGCAAAAGGACGTTGAAAGGTGAATCTAAGAAAAATGAAGGTAAGCATGACAAGTTCATGGTTAAAGAGTTTGTGGAGCTGTCGGAGAGTAGTTCAAGTGAGGAGGAAAAGAGCTGTGCATTTAAACACAAAACTAACAGTTCAGCTACTGTTACTTCTGCAGCAAAGACAGACAGTTCAAAGTCCCTCTCCTATCTGGAATCCGGAGGATTTTATCAGGACGATGATGAAGATACCAGTGAAACTGTTGGACAAAAACTGAAATCATACTTTGACCGCTTGGAAAAGGGATTTATTGGAAAAAGTGATGTAGAACAGAAATCTGATAGTAGACAGGCAAGTGAAAGGAGGTCAATAAAGATTTCCAAAACTGTTGATAACAGTGTGGCCATCACACGGAATTCACGGAAAACTAAAGCTCGATCTAAATTAGTCAGGATGGACAACTCTGACAGCTCCTCTGATAGTGATTTTTGATGTAAACATTTAAAACTGTTGGACCTGACTTTTTTCTTAGTAATGCAGAATTATTACATTAAATTTATTTTTTTTAAACAATGTATAGAGCCAACATCAGTCTTCAGTTAGGTGTGTTCTTCAGTGGAGCACTCCACTTATGATACCTACAGGTATACAGGGTCATCAACAGGAACCTGTACAATAAAGACAGGGAAATGTTAACAGCAACAAGATCAGGTGTTAGTAAATAAGTAGGTCACTTAACAAGTAGTTTTGCCTCCAGTTGAGGCTTCATCAGGACAGTTCCAGTTGAGGCTTCATCAGGACAATTTTAGCTGAGGCTTCATCAGGACAATTCCAGTTGAGGCTTCATCAGGACAATTTCAGTTGAGGCTTCATCAGGACAATTTCAGTTGAGGCTTCATCAGGACAATTTTACACCAACCTTTCCTTGCCTATATTTATTTTTTTTAAACCAGATCTACCTTCCTTTTGGTTTGATGAAATTTTCAAAGCCTATTGAGTAACATGCTAATAATTATTTACAGAAAGGAAGCTGGTTTTGATTTGTTTATAGCAAAAGGTCATCAATATGTGTGGATTGAATTATTAACGTGTATGTTCAGATGATGGTTGCCATATCTGAAATTTTACATGCAGCAAAAACATTTTTATATTATCAGAACATGCTCAGGTTGGATAAATTCAGATTTTTGGATAAAGCAATTAGTGTTTAAATTTTGTTTACATATTTTCATCTCAATCTTTTGCAAGACAAGTAAAATATACAGAAATGATAAAATGTTATTTCCAGCAGAAGTTGGTAAGACAAATAAAATGTACAGAAATGATCAAATATTACTTCCAACAGAAGTTGGTAAGACAAATAAAATGTACAGAAATGATAAAATATTACTTCCAACAGAAGTTGGTAAGACAAATAAAATGTACAAAAAAATGATAAAATATTACTTCCTTCAGAAGTTGGTAAGACAAATAAAATGTACAGAAATGATAAAATATTACTTCCAACAGAAGTTGGTAAGACAAATAAAATGTACAGAAAATGATAAAATATTACTTCCTTCAGAAGTTGGTAAGACAAATAAAATATACAGAAAATGATGAAATTTTACTTCCAACAGAAGTTGGTAAGACAAATAAAATGTACAGAAATGATAAAATATTACTTCCTTCAGAAGTTGGTAAGACAAATAAAATGTACAGAAATGATAAAATATAACTTCCAACAGAAGTTGGTAAGACAAATAAAATGTACAAAAAAATGATAAAATATTACTTCCTTCAGAAGTTGGTAAGACAAATAAAATGTACAGAAATGATAAAATATTACTTCCAAAAGAAGTTGGCAAGACAAATAAAATGTACAAAAAAATGATGAAATAATACTTCCAACAGAAGTTGGTAAGACAAATAAAATGTACAGAAAATGATAAAATATTACTTCCTTCAGAAGTTGGTAAGACAAATAAAATATACAGAAAATGATGAAATTTTACTTCCAACAGAAGTTGGTAAGACAAATAAAATGTACAGAAATGATAAAATATTACTTCCTTCAGAAGTTGGTAAGACAAATAAAATGTACAGAAATGATAAAATATAACTTCCAACAGAAGTTGGTAAGACAAATAAAATGTACAAAAAAATGATAAAATATTACTTCCTTCAGAAGTTGGTAAGACAAATAAAATGTACAGAAATGATAAAATATAACTTCCAACAGAAGTTGGTAAGACAAATAAAATGTACAGAAATGATAAAATATTACTTCCTTCAGAAGTTGGTAAGACAAATAAAATGTACAGAAATGATAAAATATTACTTCCTTCAGAAGTTGGTAAGACAAATAAAATGTACAGAAATGATAAAATATAACTTCCAACAGAAGTTGGTAAGACAAATAAAATGTACAAAAAAATGATAAAATATTACTTCCTTCAGAAGTTGGTAAGACATAAAATGTACAGAAATGATAAAATATTACTTCCTTCAGAAGTTGGCAAGACAAATAAAATGTACAAAAAAATGATAAAATGTTACTTCCTTCAGAAGTTGGTAAGACAAATAAAATGTACAGCAGATTGTAAGACAAATAAAATGTACAGAAAATGATGAAATTTTACTTCCTACAGAAGTTGGTAAGACAAATAAAAGTCAAGGGCTCGATATAAAAAATAAGCAGTAAACTGTTTTTTTCAATAAGTAAAAGTCAGATATTACTTATCGATATGAGAAAATAGAACAACCGTATTATAGATCTATACAAATATACACTTAAACACAAAACTCACTACATCATATCATTAATGATTCATGATTCACTCTAATCTGGTTGGCGACACAACACAGTACCTTTTCGTTCAATGGTTTGTCATAGAAAAGTCTTCACTTTTTACCGTTCTTCAGGATAGCAAAAAGTTTTCTGTCTATGCTGTAAGTGTTTTTAACATAGTCTAGATTGAAAGCACTGTTGAGTATCTGTTTGTTGTCCCTGGTTAGATCCTTGAAAATGACATATCTGGTACCTTTCAGCATTCTTCGAACACGGATGATTTCTTGCTTTTTGTCTTCCATGTTCCTTTTGTCTTTTACACCACAGAACACACTACTCTGATGTCTGTATTTACTTACAGAGCTACATCTTGTAGCTACCCCCGATAATGTATCTAATTCTGGCATGATAAAGTTGACAGAGCTTTCTATCAGTAAACTAATCCAGTTAACACAGACTGACAGGTATTGAGATCCGGGTATATATATCACAAATAAATGTACAATGTGCAGTGAGTAGTAATCACTGTGTTGTGGTTCATCCATTGTCGGGAGAAACGCTTCAAATCACACTTTTTAGAATAAAATTTCTAAAATAAATCTAGTACTTCTATTGCCCGTTCAGCTACATAATACAGAAGCAAATATGGTGTATTGAAGCAGTCTCGAAAATGCTGATTTATGACAATTTTTGTGGAGCAAATCCTGTCTTGTGATGGCAATATCTTGTCTTATGATGGCAATATCCTGTCTTCTGATGGCAATATCCAGTTTTGTGATGGCAATATCCAGTCTTGTGATAGCAATATCCTGTCTTGTGATGACAATATCCAGTTTTGTGATAACAATATCCTGTCTTGTTATGACAATATCCAGTTTTGTGATAACAATATCCTGTCTTGTTATGACAATATCCTGTCTTCTGATGGCAATATCCTGTCTTGTGATGACAATATCCAGTTTTGTGATGACAATATCCAGTCCTGTGATGGCAATATCCTGTCTTGTGATAGCAATATCCTGTCTTGTGATGGCAATATCCTGTCTTGTGATAACAATATCTTGTCTTGTGATGACAATATCCTGTCTTGTGATGACAATATTCCTTTCTTGTGATGAATTCGATCATGTGATGCAATATCCTGTCTTGTTATGACAATATCCAGTCTTCTGATGGCAATATCCTGTCTTGTGATGACAATATCCAGTTTTGTGATGACAATATCTAGTCCTGTGATGGCAATATCCTGTCTTGTGATAGCAATATCCAGTCTTGTGATAGCAATATCCTGTCTTGTGATGACAATATCCTGTCTTCTGATGGCAATATCCTGTCTTGTGATGACAATATCTAGTTTTGTGATAACAATATCCTGTCTTGTTATGACAATATCCAGTCTTGTGATGACAATATCCTGTCTTGTGATAGCAATATCCTGTCTTGTGATGAATTCGATCATGTGATGCAATATCCTGTCTTGTGATGGCAATATCCAGTCTTGTGATGGCAATATCCAGTCTTGTGATGACTTTGATCATGTGATGCAATATCCAGTCTTGTGATGACAATATCCTGTCTTGTGATAGCAATATCCTGTCTTGTGATGAATTCGATCATGTGATGTAATATCCTGTCTTGTGATGGCAATATCCAGTCTTGTGATGACTTTGATCATGTGATGCAATATCCTGTCTTGTGATGGCAATATCCAGTCTTGTGATAACAATATCCAGTCTTGTGATGACTTCGATCATGTGATGCAATATCCTGTCTTGTGAGTGGCAGATTCCATAAGAGGTAGTGTTACATGGAAGAGTTTGTTATTAGTGGTAGCCCGTGGCTAGTGAAAATAGTCAATGAGGACAGATGCTTTCCACCATGCTTTAGAAATACTTAATTCGGACTTTCAACACCTGTGTTGTCATTTGAAGGAATCACACCATCAAATAAGATGTAATTACTGGTGTCATTCAAGATTTCTTTTGGATGTTTTTCCTTTCTGCACAAAGATTGGCACGTTCTTAATTTTCTATGTGAACATTTTCTAAACTTTCCAGAATATTGTCCTTGTACAACATATCATGATCGTCATCCCCAGTTTCTAACACTTTCATTCAGAAAGGAAATTTTCCATAAGTGGAAACATTTGAAGGAACAATAAATACACGGAGGATAGGTGTATACACTTTACAAAAAATATCATACATGTAAATAGGAAACAGAAAAATGATAATACAACAACAGAACCAACTGGCAAACTAACTAGCATCAGTACTCTCGGCTTCACATCCACAAGGAAATATTTCTCACCAAAATCACTATGACAACTGTAGAAAATTCCGATAAATTTCGTCATCCCGATATGTTTTGAATCCCTGTGTCATAAGTTTATCTGTCAGTTGACGACATCTTGCACCAAAATCATGATGTTGAAGCTGATCACAAATACATTTTTTATTTAAAAGAAAAAGTTCTGAAGAAATATTTTGCCAACGTTTATTGTGATCACTTAACACAACACTACTAAACCAGCTCTAACCTCATTACATAGTGGTCCTGTGAAAATTTCGTCAATAATCCAGCAATAACAGGATCATGTTCAATGCATGCACCGACAGCTGATACCAAGATATATTTCATCATCAAAATACTTGTCAATAATTATTCATTTTTTTTTCGGTGATTGAAACATAGATGCTATCAAAGGATAAATTACATTGATACGATATCCATGAAATGATTACATTTTTAAATCTTTGGGTATTTCGAAATTGTCTAGAATAGTTTTAAAAATAACAGCCGGGACACAGATGGTTTTACCGAGTGTTAATAAAGTATTGTAGTAGCTTAGAGCAGAGAGACATGCGGCTATCAGTATATTTCTTTCCCATTGTCACGATGAAGGCTGCCTGAATCTGAATTTACAAACACGTGTAAATTGCACTTACGTCTTGAGTTTTTTTCCTTTTTGATATTGTACCTTAATGTATCGATATTTTTTGTCGCAAGTGGCAATAATTCAGTCTTCCATTTTTCCAAGTGATTTTTCAGAGAATCGTTCTCATCGCGTCTTTCAATCATCACGTCGTTTATTATGTTAAATATATCTAGATTTTTAAGTACTGTCTTGGACAGTCAAATGTGAAATAAGGTCAATAATATTTAGATCATAGCAAGAATTATCTATAAGAAACTTCAAAACAAAATTAATTATTGAAAGAGTTCAAATGGAAACTATTCAACAAAATTCTAGCATCAAAAGAGACCCTATATACGTTGGAACGAACGAATGTTTCCTGTGAAATGAAAGTGAAATGTTAATGGAAAGTATCAATGAACTTAGTCATGAAAATTCAGCTAGTGGAAATATGTGAATTAGCTGAGGGAAGCCTATGCAAC